GGTTTTACCAGAACTCAAGTGGGTGCACAAGTCGTGCTTCATCTTTTCTCTTAATTTAGGATGCATGGTGAGAAGATTGATGTAGCATGTTCTCGAGAGAGATTCGCTGTATATTTTGGAATAGGGACCAGTGTGGGCAGCGGCTAAGGGGGAAAACCGTGCGGTGCCTTGCAACGGGGTTTTTGGGGGAGGGCGCCATACCGTCATAGGGGTAGCTCTTCCAGTACTCATCGGCGTTTGGGCTCTCGAGTTCCTTCCACGTTCGGCAGGGTCGCCATACACAGCCTCGAGGAATGTCTGCGCCGTGAACATTTGGGCTTCGGAAGCGTCTGACGCGGCCACAGTGGACAGAAGAAGAGGGCTAATGGAGTTGTCGGGTGGCCTGATAGTCGAGGCCAAAGAATTGAAGATAAGGTCAAGACTCATCTGGGTAATTCCTCGCTGCGACTTCGAACCTAGGATTGTATGGCTCTGCAGGTTGTCCTTGTCAGTACATGTTCAAGTGCACTCATGGTGATGCGGTTGACTAGACCTTTCCGCTACCTGTCACTCCCAACGTTGCAATAAGGCCGTCCCTACCCTCAACCAATACACCCCTAACCAGAGACTCCAACTCGGTGCCATGGAAGACGTCCAGCTGAGACGCTGACTCTTCGAACACCTTGGTGAAACCGAACCTTTCAACGGCACGCTTTCGTGCATCGGATGGGGGTTGCAGGGTGATATGGGTGGGAGAGGCGGCCGCCGTTTCCTGGTCATCTTCAACGGTGACCTTTGGCTCCGGAGCCTCGATTGTCAAGCATCGTTCAGCGTGTTCCTCCAAATGCTGCGGCATAGGTGGACGCAGGCGGAGGTACACCTGGAATAGAGATGCGGGGGAGGACTTTGTCGAGCTCATGGTGGGTAGCAGTCCACGTTGTCTGTTCACATTCGATTGAACAGAGTGGAGTAACTGCGAGATGTCTTGCGTCTTTGGGCGGATATGAGGTCCAGATCGAAGCACCATCGAAGCTGGAGAAGGCGAGACTTTCCCCAGGCCAGCAATCACGTTATGTTGACTTTTCCCTTTTGGGTTGGGTGTCGTGTTGTCCTGACAACTAGTCGGGCATGATGTAAGCTCGTATTTGTGTGCCTGCAGATTCAGGCGGGAAATTGAGTTTCTAGTGCGAAAGATGGAAAGAGGGCCTTAGTGCCTGAAGTTGCGCCCGGCTCAGCCTTGCTCGTATTCGCTACTCTTGGCGCTTGTTGTAATCCAGCAACTATCTAACTTCATGAGCCAGGTGGTTACCCATGTGACGTGCCATCGTCTTTGTAAGATGCCACATCTGGTTCTCAGCCATCGCATGTGGAGCCGCGTAGAAAGATTCAGGGTCTTTATTGCAGTACCCAAAGTCAATAAGGTTGAGGCGATGCTTTCGCGGGCCCAATAAGCCAATCTCCCAGGCTCATGGCTTGGATCAGGCACTAACCCAAAACGGTGTGCTCGTTTTCGCTTGTTCTTCTAACAGTCAGAGGCTGAAGATGTGAAGACAGTATATATACAGGGGAGATGAACGAAGATGGAGCAAAGATCATGCTATCACAGTTTAGTTTTTTCTATCACAACTGCTTGCTTCAGTTTCAGTGTCACATAGTCAGGACGGTATAAGATGATGCTTGACAAAAGATCCCCTTATCGTATGGAACCCCGACCCGCCAAGCCTTCACATACTCTATATAATATACACTAACGCCAAGAAGAGGAGGGAAGCCTCTGGTACTATGCGCCCAATCAAGGAGCACCCATCTCTTTCGCAATAATGTTTGCTGTCTCTGGGATGTTACACATTTACCAATGTTGGTATGCATGCTCACCCAAGTGCTATGCCCATGCAGTTCCTAACGATGATGGCAGCCAGTACAAGTCATGGAAAGTGACCGGTCTCCTACCCTGGTCTGCTCTGCTCTTCACGGCTGGCTTCATAACGCGTACTATCGGCGCCTTTGGACAGTGGGGAAATGTGGGCATCTATATTGCCAGCACAGTTCTTTTGTTGGCTGCACCGTGAGTGCTTATTGATGCGGATTGATAATGGATACCACTGACTAGCGTACAGACCAGTCTATGAGGGCGCCAACTACTTCACCCTGGGCCGCATCCTTTACTACATCCCATACCATTCGCCAATTCATCCTGGGCGCGTTTTCACTACTTTTGTGGCGGTTGGTGTTGTGATCGAGGCTATTACCGGCAACGGGGCTGCGCTGGTTGCCAACTCTGAGGCGACGGAAGGTAAGAGAAAGACAGGAGAGGGACTGCTTAAAGCAGCTCTGATCCTGCAACTTGTGCTGATGGCAGCCTTTGTTGCCTTGGCTGCCAGATTCCACTACAACTGTTCTCGTGGTGGTGTCTTGAACGGCAAGATCAAGCGGGCCTTGTACGTGTTGTATTGCAGTTGCACCCTCATTACCGTGCGCACGATCTACCGGACGGTAGAATATTTCAGCGCCACGAGTCTCAATATCTATAGTGGCGGCAACCAGATTAGCCCAATCCTCAAGGATGAGTGGTTTTTCTGGATTTTTGAGGCTGTTGTCATGTACCTCAATACCATCTTGCTGAATGTCTGTCATCCGATGCAGTGGCTCCCACGCTCCAACAAAATATATCTTGCCACGGATGGTGTTACCGAAATCGAAGGTCCTGGTTATGACGATCACCGACCTGTCATCTTGACCCTTATTGATCCCTTCGACATCGTTGGTCTTATCAAGAACAAAGGTAAACAGGAGAAGTATTGGGAAGCTGAGACAGTCAGCAAGCTCAGCAAAGGTTCGCCTGGACCATCTGCTGTGTAGCTGAAAGCGGGTTGGGATATAGAATGCAGTTATTCTTGGGCCATGTTTGACAGTGACGGCGTTTCGTGTCTATGTATAGAATACTTGTCTCGATGATGTTTAATGATATTTCTCATTTACCAGTGTTGAAATATGGCAATTTGAATCTGTAATAATAAATAACTAAGTGGAAAAGGGATTGACGCTGACGTCTTCCACTGCGACCAGCCGATCCTCCGCCCCGCCTGACCCGCCCCGCTAATCAGTTGCCAAAGAGCTTCGGGGTTTCCCGACCAGCGCAGCTCCCCCTTCCATCTGCACTTGCTCCGCCACGACTTATTAGTCCTGTCACTGATAGTCAGCCTCTGAGGGACTGGGGACATATTCACTCCACAGTTGATGCTTGGGTTTCACGTCTCGCAATAACCCCCTCTCCGCCGCCTTCCCCGACCGTGTCCCCTCAACATCTTACCCCGCTCTTCTTTCCACACCGACAAACACTTGTCAGGTTCTATCGCAAACAGAACACACATCATGGGAAGTCAGAAACGGATAGCTAAGGTCAGCAGAACAGAGGATCTCCTCTTCGTAATCTGCGCCACATCTACCAGGGCGCAGAAAGAGAGCACAATTGACTAACGCATGACTCACAGGAGCTCGCCGAGCTTGTCGAGTCTCCCCCGGAGGGTATCGTGGTGAAGTTGGCCGACGAGTCCAATCTTTACACATGGAACGTATATATGGATGGACCTGAGAAATCTCCCTACCAGGTGAGCCTTTCCTACCTGTCATCGACGCCAAGGAGGCCATATGAACCCTCACTAACACTCAGAACCGTATCATACGTAGAACGGCAAATTCCTACTCAACCTCTCCCTCCCCACCGAATATCCCTTCAAACCCCCTACTGTCTCCTTCAAAACGAAGATATACCACCCCAACGTGACCAACGATGACAAGGGAAGCATGTGTCTGGGCATGCTTCGCGCAGACGAGTGGAAACCTAGCTCCAAAATCCTGGCGGTACTGCAGTTCGCGCGTCAACTGCTAGCGGAACCGATGCCCGATGATGCTGTCGAGGGAAGGATTGCAGAGCAATTCAAGAATGACCACAGTCGGTACGAGGAGGTCGCGAAGGAGTGGACACGCAAGTATGCCACTCTTTAGTGAGCCGCTGCTGCCTGCAATCGGTTCAGCAGGTAGGTAGACACCTTGAGGCGAGTCTGCGAGCTAAGAGTGATACGAAATGACGGGAGAAACACAGAGAATAGGGACCAAAAAGACATGAATGTTTCGGCTTGGCTAGATATGATATATATGATATGAACATGTTTGAGCATCACGACTGCATGAGATGAGACATTGTTAGCATGGTTTTACTTGTGGAATAAAAGATATGAAAACATCATGATAGAAACTATATGCATATCGGGAGCGGTATCAAAGACAGAATCGGCATCTTTCTTCCGGCCCAAATCCGCAAGATATCATTCACAATGCAAGACCAAATAAACCATGCATATGCTGCAGTGGTGCGGATATCCTCCTTACATTTTCTCTCTCGCCACAGCCTTCCCTGCACACCGTAGATCACTGTGCTGAGCTTCAAGGGAGTGTGGTGGACAAGAGTTGGACTACGAGTGGAGAACCGGGCAAGGGGGGTGATTATTGTAGTTGGGGTGCAGTTCATTAGTAGTATTGAGGTTACATGCTCAGGGCACCCAATGGTCAGTGATCGCCTCAGGCTGACTTTCAGGGAATGCCCAGGACGTGCTCAGATCTACTTAGTGAGCAAAAAGCGGCAAAGGGTGAGCTCTAAAAACGGAAAGAGTAGGCCATCAACTGTACCTAGGTTCCACCAGAAAATGAAGTACGTACCTTACGTATATTGACGCCCCGCATCAGAATGGGGGCTTGGTGGGGATTACATGATTGGACGACTAAAGATCATATCACAGATGGTAGACTATATGATGTGATTGCGGCACGAGAGGGAAAGTCCCCGACGGCCATTAAATCCAAACTGGCTTTCAGACGTGGACGGGGGCTCACTCCACGGCGCGCAACATCTCCCCACTAAAGCTCTGAATGGCTGTAGTATTTGAATAGAGAAGCGCCTAGAATGAATCTGTATACATAGTTCAACAACCTGCTATAACATTGAAACCAGTACATTCCTCACAATGACAAAGTCCGAACCTGAAGTTGATGGTAATCTCTCTTTTCTCCCTTTGTTGCAGCACATCTTCCACCCGTCACCGACCAAGCTACCCTAACACAAAACACACATCTAGAACAAAAACTCCTCGAGTTGATCCAACAAGATCCGGGACTACCGCGCGACAACCCCACCGCATCATACTGGCAGCACATTGTCCACAAACTCTCCAATGTGAAGAGCGCCTCCTTACCCCCAACGACCGATATTGCTATCATAGGCTCTGGTATCACCGGCGCAAGCGTCGCAAAGACCCTTCTCGAACAGCATGGCACGTATAGAATCACCCTCTTCGAAGCAAGGACAATTTGCTCTGGAGCCACCGGCCGCAATGGGGGTCAGCTCGCGATCAACGCCGCAGAAAACTACATTAAGATGAAGATGGCGGTTGGGGCAGAGATGGCGGGTAAAATCATCCAATTCAATATCAAAACTTTGGAGGCCATGCGCGATATTGCACAGCGCTTCGCTCATGCCCAGGATCCAGAGCTGACGGACGTGGTGAAACTGCGGGCGTTCAAGGACGAGGCGTCTTTTGGTGCGGTTTGTGAGGGGATCAAGGAGCTTGAGCGGGATCATCCTTCTTTGAAAGGAGTCTATACTGTTCTCGATGCGGAGTCATGTGAAAAGGTTGGTTTCACTTTTACTCCAGGGTAGTATTGAGTTGACTGATATTTAGGAACATGGTGTATTTGGGGCTGTTGGTGGCGTCCTCCACGCAGCAGGGACTGTGTGGCCATATCACGTCGTTACGAATCTTTTGGATGCGCTCATGAGCGAGTACGCTTCTCGATTAGCCATCGAAACCAACACCCCTGTTACCAAAGTTGACTACAAGCCCTCCACCGACACGCAACACTCGTACATCCTCCACAGCGCGAGAGGAAGCACCCGAGCGACGCATGTTGTCTACTGCACCAACGGGTACACCGGCCACCTCCTCCCGAACTTACGAGGAATCCTATACCCAATGAAAGGAACCATGACGGTGCAAGATTGGAGTGCAAACCCTCGCCATCAGAACCGCGGATCGAAGGCCTCCTGGGCCATTCACTACCTTCCATACCTGGACCCGGAAACCGGAGATGTTGCAGACGGGTTGATCTACGGGATGCAAGACACCGGAACAGGCTGGTACTTTTTCGGTGGGGAGAAGTCTCCTGTGGAGGACCTGCTATCGGCCAACGACACCACCATTAGCGCGACCTCAGTTCGGTTCCTACAAGAGTCCCTTTCCTCGCTTTTTGACCTGAGCGGTGGCAAGCTGGATTTCGGTAACAAGGTTGTAAGTTCGTGGTCGGGTATCATGGGCTTTTCGTCCGACGGACTTCCACTGGTAGGCCGTTTACCTTTGACGTTGACAAACCGGGATGGCACTGGGGAGTGGTTCTGTGGTGCGTTCAACGGATATGGCATGCCTTCCGCCTGGCTAGCGGGGGAGAGTCTGGGATTAATGATTGTGGGCAAGTCACCGAGGGCGTACCTGCCAGAGGCGTTCTTGATCTCAGAAGAGCGGCTTCGGGAGAGGCTTTCTGTGGAGCAGAGTATGCTCCACCTGGCTGATCCGTAAGCGTTTCGAGGGGCGTCAATGCTGGTATCGGAGATGGCTGGGTGCTTATTGCGACGTCATTTTCAAATGGACATTCATAAGGATAGACAGTGCCTCCGTAAATATTGTTATCGTAGATCCGTAATTAGCCGTTCGAGCTACATTTCCATCGCAGAGGCGGTAGTTTTAAGTGGTCAGGATCGTCGATGCCTTGTTCGGGGCCCGCGGGTTGCGGTCACAGCCGTCGACCCCAATCCGTTAGGGCAAGAGGGTCAGCTATTAGAAGCGAGGCCCGTTATTTCTGCCTAGAATCCAGAATATATATCCAGCTGATCTCCTGCAGCTTCGATCGGTCGTAGGAGCAAGTTGACAATGTCGCAACTACCCCTGGGGCTCATCGCTTTTGGCCCCAGCGCCAATTGCACCTTGGAGCTCTGTCCTTTGGAGGCCAGCATTCTTCAGTACCAGCCATCGATCCCGGCGAATTCCGTCGCAATCGCCATCTTCGGACTGTCCTTCATCGTGAATCTAGTTCAGGGTTGTTATTACCGAACATGGGGGTTTATGGCGGGTTTGCTCAGTGGGTGCATCTTGGAGATTGTTGGGTATATCGGACGCATCATCATCCACGACAATCCGTTTGACTTCAATGGTTTCATCATGCAGATTAGTGAGTCTCTATAAACAGCCCGTTCCATATCTCTAATGTCTCACCGTTCGTCGCCAGTCTGTATCACAATAGCACCTGTATTCTTCTGTGCGGCAATCTATGTCCTCCTATCTCGCGTGTTGGTGTGCTTCGTCTTCCTGTTTGGCCAGCCTTCTCACACATTTTCTAGAATCATACTGGTTGATGAGCGACTGTCGCGTATCCCGCCTCGCTTTCTAGGCTGGATCTTCATTACTTGTGATATTATTTCGCTGGTTCTGCAAGCCGTCGGAGGCGCACTGTCTTGTATTGGAGATACGAAAGATGACATCCAGGTCGGCGTGGATATCTCCCTCGCAGGTCTGGTCTTCCAAGTCGTCACCTTGACGTTGTTTGGCTCTTTATTCATCGACTATCTACTCTCCTGTCGCCGATCCGGCAAACACTGGACGTTCAAACCCCGCTTAAGCTTCTTTCTCACGTTCCTGTGCCTGTCGATGTTCCTGGTTCTGCTCCGGTGCGTCTATCGTGTCGTTGAGTTACACGAGGGCTATTTCAGCCACTACTTCCGAGACGAACCACTCTTTATTGCGCTAGAAACGGCGTAAGGAACTCTCCCCTCAGTTATAGTCTCGGAACATCGCTAACTGATGTAACCAGGATCATGTGCGCGGCCGCTCTGTGTCTCAATGTCGGCCATCCGGGCCTTGTTTTTGGTAAGTCAGGAGGTGAGCCGGCTAAAGAAGAAGAAGAAGCGGAGTACCGCATGATGAAGCTTGATTCTAGAGGCGCTCAGTGAAGGTCGCTCTGGATTCAGATTGATGCAGCTGGGTTTAGGCGTTCCTAGTATGGCAATTTGTGGATATCTTCTGGTTAGATGCCATTCTCATAGATCGCACGTTACATGGAATCACAACGATTATGTGTAGCACGCTGCTAACGTGCCGTCCTAAGAAGCCTGAATGGGCGGTTAGGAAAGGTTGGTGCTCAATTTTGTCCAGCGGTTGGGGAAGGGGGTCAATCCACGCGCTGTAACATGGATGTTAGCCATTTCGTTCACAATAGAGGGTCTAGGTGCCCCTCCCCACATAGTAGCCATAGAGAGTATCCATTCGACAAGCTAGCCCCTTCCAATAGTTTATATTCTTTGTACGTATACCAACGTGTGGTGTGGGTCCCTTCGCCCGCCGGGGTAAGGTCACATATAATGCAACATACACCTTTGCAACTGCCCCTAAATAGATATAAACTGAATTGGCTATTCTTAGTAATAACCTTAAGTGCTGGAAGGATGATTATACGTGGTTCATGACATTTTCAATGATCAAAGTGAGGGCTGAACCGCGCTTTGTTTGGTGGAACAAGGCCTCCATATACTTAACTCTCACATATCACCAGCACCCAAGTTCCTCGCAAACGATGCTGGGAACCATTCTGGTGGTGTCCAAAACTTATTACCATCCAGATAATTTAACATAGCATCGGCTGCAACCATCGCACTCGCGAAACACCGGCCCATGCCCTCCCCGTTATGCCCGACCGAGACGTACTCGCCCGGACTCCCCAGGGTTGGCCGCCCAACAATGCTCGCGCCGTTCTGTGTGAAGCCCTGGATCCCCGTCCAGTCATACAGCACGTCCCTCTTGATGTCAATATCCTGGAAATGATGCGGGAAAGCACTCGCCAGGAAATCAATCATACCACGTTTATGCGGATTGTCGTCTGCGAGGGTTACATTGTCGTTATAGTCACCGACTTCTTCTGCAGTGGCAAGGCCATAGAGGTAGGGTCCATGGTTTGGGCGCTGCAGGATCCAATGCCAGAAATCTTGATATCCAAATCCACGGGAGAGTTGGCAAGTGGCCGGCGCAGTGCGGTTGGGTTGAACGCCCAGCATATGTGCTCTGCAACCGTATACCCCGTCTGTGCCACACAATGATGGAAGAAGATGACTGGCGTACCCGTTCGTGGCGTGAAAGACGGCGCGGGCCTTGATATCACCCCGGTTCGTGGACACGGTGTAGTTGTACTTCTCAGCGGTGGGGTCGTGGGTGACTGACGAGACAGGTGTATACGAATGGACCGTGAATGCGGACATCTGCTGTAAGGCGGCCCTGAGAAGCACAGCAACCAGCTTGCGGGGATAGATCGTCCCCGACGTCTCTATGTATGCCGCTCCATGCTGTGCATGGGATCCCGCGAGCGTGATTTTCTATATCGTCCGGGGTGTCAGTGCCTGCCGAACTACTTTTGCGTCGCATATTTCAAACAGACTCACCGATAAAACACCCTCTTGGTCGTCAATCACATACCCTTCCGGCTCATGGCCGTGCTCCCTCGCCCATTCCAAGTCCGCCACAAAACCCGCCTTTTCCTCCGCCGTCTCAAACACGACAATCGTCCCGTTCAGCTGCAGATCTGTTTCCTCCACCGCCCCCAACTCCGTGATCGCGTCGACCATCATGTTGCGATTCCGCAGTCCAAACCGTCGCAGCTTGATGGCTTCCTCCGCGCCGAACTCCTCGGCCAGTTCCCGGATGTGGAACACTTCTGGCCGCCCAATATGGCCCCCATTGCGTCCCGTCGCGCCCGTGCAGAGCCCTCGCGCTTCAACCAGCTCAACGCGGAGATGTGGCTGCGACCGCGCGATCTGATATGCGACTGTCGCACCGGTGATGCCGGATCCGATGATCACCACATCCACCTCAGCGGGCAGCGGGACACGCGCGCATTGATCTTCGAACTCGATCTGGTGCTCGCGGATCCAGTAGCTCTTGGAGATGGATGGAATCTCGGGGTACTCGGCGGGGTTGGGGGCTCGCGCGTTTACTTGTTCGTTGTCCATCTGTGAGGTCCAGACGCTGGTCGAGGGCCCCGTCGCAATCGTTGTGGGTGATGTGATGCAGCTTTGATAGGTTGCCCCTGATTCCAGGCGATACCGGGGAAGATATTTGACTACGTGGTAGATAATGCGGAAGACCATCAATTGACCGTGGAGGGAGTATCTTGATGCCCCGCGGGGCCCGAGAGCTGCAGGGGTTGCGAGGATCTCCCACGGTCTCACCTGACAGCGAAACCCCCACCTCCCACACCACAGCCCACTGGGGCTTTGTTCTGCGGACGAAAAATGCCCGTCGGTCTCTTTTTGATCAGTTGGAAGCTCAAGATCAAGTTGACCACGAGTGCAGAGCTAGAGGGTGGCCACGGACGTCCTACCGTTATCCCTCATCTCCGTATCGTCCCAGGGCCTAACGCCCGCTATGCGTGCGTATTGGATTGATTGTCGGACTCCGCGGGTTCCACAAACCCTCAGAGGGCAATCACGATGCTTGGCATACATTGTAAACGAGCGTGCAGCTAACAGACGGCAGAAACACCGCCTCATGGGTGAGGATAACGGCGGCGTGTCTTGGCCTTCAAAGACAATAGATCATCCATGTGCTCTGGCTGGAATGACCAATATAAAAGCGATTCTCATAGCTTGGTCCGGCATCAGTAAGTACATCACCAGAGCTCTGTTGCAACTGGTACCATGCCCGCCATGTCCAACTTTACCACGGAGGAGTTCCACACCCTTCACCGTCATCTCCGAGCGTCATTCACCACCAATAAGACGAAAGATATCCGATGGCGCAAATGGCAGCTGAAGCAGCTGTTTTGGCTCCTCGACGAGAACGAAGACGCCCTGGTTGCCGCGATGACCGAAGACCTGCATCGACACGCGTTCGAGTCCCTCTCTTACGACATCAGCGACGTGAAAAGCACCGTCCTTACCATGTTGAAGAACATCGACAAATGGTCTCAGGGCATGCCGCCACCGGAGGCAGGCCTCTTTTTCCGATACATCGGCGGCGCCTGGATCCGCAAGGAGCCCCGCGGTATGGTCCTGGTCATCGGGGCGTGGAACTACCCCCTCTCGACCTTGTTTTCAGTGGGAGCGGCGGCCATCGCAGCGGGGAACTGTGTCCTCTTCAAGCCATCTGAGGTGGCGGCCCGAACGGAGGCATTGCTGGCAGAACTGGTCCCAAAGTATCTCGATCAGTCAAGCATTGCACTGGTCCGCGCCAGACCGACGGACATGGGGAAGATTCTAGAGTACAAATTCGACTTCATCTTCTACACGGGCAGCACACGGGTTGGACGTATCATCGCCGCCGCCGCCGCGAAGCATGTCACACCTACGGCGCTGGAGCTGGGCGGCCAGGCGCCTGCCATCGTTGGCAAAACGGCCGACATTGACGTCTGTGCGAAACGACTGGTGGCTGCAAAATTGACCAATCTTGGCCAGATCTGTGTATGTGTAAACCACGTCTTTGTGGATTCACAGGTGCACGATGTTCTCGTTGCACGTCTGATATACTGGGCCCAGCATTTCTGCTCGGGGGACGGGCTTGCTGGGTTGGGGAGGATGGTGACCGAGCGACACTTCGACCGACTGTATGACCTTCTCAGTCGCACCGCGGGAAAGAAGGTGTTTGAGGGCAAGCATTCCCGGAATGACCGGCTCATTCATCCAACAGTCGTGACGGACGTGACGATGGACGATTCTCTGCTATCTGAGGAGTTGTTTGGTCCTGTCCTACCTGTCGTGAAGAAGACCGTTCCGGAGGCCCTCGAGATCCTCCGAGACAGTCCTTCCCCACTGGGCCTCTATATCTTCTCAAATTCCTTGTCGGAAGTTGATACCATCCTAAACTCCACCAATTCAGGCGGCGTGACCATCAACGATGTGGCTATCCATCCGGATGTCCCGTCGGCGCCGTTCGGCGGCGTCGGAGACTCGGGCTACGGTGCCTACCATGGTAAATGGGGGTTTGATACCTTCAGTCACAACCGGACGGTGGTCCGGTTGCCAGGCTGGGTGGACCATTTTGTTGAATGGCGGTATCCTCCATTTGATGTTAAAAATCGGACCGAGACTGACGTGCCGCGTCCAAGTTTCAAGAAAGGGGAGACGCTGGAGGATCAGACCTCAGGTTCCGGATGTGTTGTTATGTAGCTATAAGCCTCTATTTTGGTGACATGTATCATTTTGCTATTGCTAGTGGTCCTGGAGCTTTCAACGCAGCTTTGCGTAAGATGGAAAATCATGCCATGTAAAGCTCATCTCTTCCCAGTGCCCGATTGACTGTTTGTAGCAGTCCGAGAACCTTTTCCTCTTCGAAGCGCCGTCCCATCACCTGCAAGCACACCGGTGCATCCTTATACTTTTCCGGCGTATCTATGATCGTAATTAGCACGAGGCCTGACATATTAAATATATAGCATCCAGCAGAACTCACAACTATCCCAATTCCTCCGATCGTATTCTGACATCGGCTCAAACAAGTCCTCCGTCCTGACATCAAGCACAGGATCCACCGTCGACACCGGGACCGTAGCACACGTCCAATCAAGGACATTCGAAATCGCCTCGTAGGTGAAATACTCCATCTTTCCATGTGGAGGAGCCACAGTACCCCCAGACGGCAAGATGACCGCATCGACTGGTAAACCTGTCGCCGTTCTCGCCGCCGTAGCCTGCCAGATATCCAGATACTTCTCCCGCAGCATCTTCACCTTAACCGCGGTGGCTCGATACTGCGAGACAGAGAGCGTAGTCATTGAATTTAGCGGCGTCACCTCGTCGATGAGCGGCTCGTCCAGCACGCCAAGCAGCGTTTTCACCTCCTCGCCGCCACTCGCGAAGAAGGTCGGGAACGCCGCGTCCATGAGCTCCTGTCCGTCCCAGGGATCGATATCAATGACCTGATGACCCGCAGACACCAGCGCCTGCTTCAAGACTTGCATCCCGCGCCGGATCGGCGGGTTCGGAAGCACGACGCAGTCATGCGGCATGAACGCGAAGCAGAGCGGGTGTCTCTCGCCGCGTCCCTCGCAATACTCCTCCTCCCGCCAGGGCATCCGGACACTGCTAAAATCCCACTCCCATGGCCGCAGGCCTAGCAGCGCTCGCGTATACACCTCCAGCCCATCGACGCTGCGACTCAGCGGACCCGCCACCCCCTGGATGGTCATCATTCCGTCGGCGTTGACGGCAGAATGTGCGGGGAACCGCCCCGCCGACGGACATATCCCGAAGATCCCGTTGAAATTGGCAGGGGTGCGGATCGATCCGGCAATGTCGCTGCCAATTCCTAGCGGACTGCCCCCGAGGGCGATCAACGATCCCTCGCCGCCGCTGGAACCGCCGGCGGTTAACCGGGTGTTATGGGGGGTGGAAGTACGGCCGAAGACGAAGTTCACGCATTCACCGGACATCAGCGTCTGCGGGACGTTGGTTTTGCAATAGAGCACGGCGCCTGCGTTGTGGAGCTTGGTGACAAGGCGGTCTTCCTGCGCAGGGATATGGCCGATCCTCGCGACGAAGCCGAGTGTGGTTTCTGTGTCGGTGATGTTCAGCACGTCTTTAAGGCTGATGGGCAGACCGTGCAGCGGGCCCAGCGGGGTCCCGGTGGTGGAGAGAATATGGTCAAGCTCTTGCGCGCGTGCGACGGCCCGGTCGAACAGGACCTCGGCGAGGGGATTTGTTAGGTAGTGAGCGATTGTTGCGCGCGCAATAAACGCCCGAGTTACACTTTCTGCGGACCAGTAGCCGCTTGAGAGGTGGGAGAGGAGTTGGCTCGGCGGCGTCTCGGTTATGGTAAGCTGCTCGTCGGTCAAGAGGCCGCAGCGATTGGGGAAGTCCTTGACGTAGGTTTCGTCTGGACGTAATGGCGGCATAGGGCCTGGCTGCCATTTGGAGACGAGGCTGTCTCTTGCTGCTCGTTTTTGGGCGGCGCGTTGTTCCCAGAGAGGAGTTTCTATGACGGTCATGGTGCTATATTTCTGTTTCTGGGGATAGACGAGGAGTAGGGAAGCCAAGTGAGCGAATTGGACCTGTTTGTATGGTCGGTGATCCAGCCCGTCTCTTCAATGATTATGAAGGTGATGGTCGTGTGCAAGGTGGTCCCACTATATACTTAGATCAAGAAAAATATGCCGCCGGTGATTTCTCTGCCGGGGTTTGCTGGAGGCCGTAACAAGGTTTGATCGAGATCAGAACGCGGACTGTCAACCAGTCATGATCATGGAATCCATTAATATGTGTATACGGTATTTGAAATCACTGACCATATCAAAAAGCGAGCAACACTCGTGGGCAAGGGCAGCAAGGTCACGTGGCCCCCCTTAGCCCCCCTCCCTCCCCCTCCAATTCAGCTCCCCGCTTCGGTGGGGAGGCAGTTCACAAGTTGATAACCACTCCAACAATGAGTCTGCGTACGCTATCGTCCCGCCCTCGAGCCTGCGATCGGTGCTGGCTCTTGGTAGGTCATCTTCTGCCCACAGAACCTGCTTCAAGTCTAACACCCCCTTGTAGAAGACGCAGTGCGATTCCCAAAGTCCATGCGCTCGCTGCCAGCGCCTGGAGCTTCCCTGTGTCACCGAGCGTCCTCTACAGGCAAAGGGACGGCCGAAAAAGTCCGCGTCAATCAGACGGGTGAGAGCCACCATTTAGAATGCGTTAGTCTCCATTGTCTGCTAGACTGACCGACTGACCCCTGGGTGGATATCGCGTATCCGTAGGCATTCATTCAATCGCCCGCAGAGCCAACAGGGCCTGGATCTGGTGGACAGGAGGTCATTGCCTCTCCATCCACAGCTGGTGTTTCACCAGCAGCAGCAACAGGCCCCTCTCAAGATTTATCGGAGCTATCGTTAGATACCGACCTTGTAGACGGTCTTCTACATCAAATTGCTTCCTCGTCTAGGAAGCTTGGGATCTTCGGGGCACTGCCAGCCAGTATCCATCCTGCAGGAGAGAACCATGCCAATGGATCACTACGTCAGGTCTGGAATCCAGACCAGTGGTACGTGCTACTTGCACTTTCGCTAGAGATATACCATCCTCGTGTCCCAGATACAGTCCCTGGGCCGCGCAAGTTGAGCCAGGATCTGCTCCGGAGAAGTGTACTCGCCTTGACCCAGGATCTTTCCTGGAAGGCTCCTGAACCTGGGATTGAAAACGTTCTCCTCCTGCTGCTGTCTAGCTACACATGGTGTTTGAGTGTTGAGTTTGTCGAGATTGCTGCCCGGTGGCAATCATTATCTTGTGTGATATACCATGACATAGCGAAGCTTCCTGTCCCGAATGACGATTGTGGCGAGTTGAAGAATCGGTAAGTCATAGATAACATAAGTGTTACTCATGGGGAGGGAGAGCTGATGGAGAAGCAGCACGGAAATGGCGCTTTATATTCAAGACGCGTAAGCAGACTGGCTATTTATTTTTGGCATCGGCTTTCTAATGCAAACTGCAAGAACCATGTCGCTTCTCCACTATCCCAGGAAGCCCAGCTGTGATCTACAGAAGCAGGTGAAGTCACAGATCGCTGACGGTGTATGGCATGCTCGTCGCCGCCCCCTTCCTGCCCAGACAGAGCATCAGCCTGTCGAGGATAGTTCGTACTTTGCTTTGATGCATCCACTGGCCAAGTACGACCCGTCCTCTACCCTGCATTTATAACAGTCACTGATTGGGAACAACTAAGCTGCATGCGAGCGATAATCGAAGCTCCATCAGTTGGTAGTAGAGCATGGCTGATGGCGAAAAATGAGCTATCCGATTACTTCTTCGGCTTTCCTTCCACGCTGTTGCGATTTGATGACTTAAGCTACGTCTACGAAGCTGAAGCAATGATCTGGATGCATGGACTGTTTATCATGTTACGTATGAATATTCCATTCTACCAGGCTGACGGACCAACTGCTAACATTTACCTAGACGGAACGCGGGACTTGGTTAACCTAACGATGAACCCCATGTACCTCGAAGCGGACCGATTCATCCATCTGCTCGAGCATTCGATCCTCCTGGGAGATGTAGGTCTAACCTCTGAAATATCAAATGCCATTAAATATCTGACGAAGTAGGTTCTACCAACCGTCTTATCCCTGGATCCATCCTTGGATTGTCTGTCCCCCGCAACAGTTTTTTTCATCCTCCACTCGGCTACAGTTCATGCCATGGCCTTGCGCCAGTTCATCCCAAATCACTGTAGCCGGGCCTCACTGGGCACCGGTGTACCAGTAAAGCTCGCCCGGTCGAGCGACCACCATTGCAACTTGTTGTCTGCCGTGCAGCTCCACTGCAAGCGTTACGATGTACCAATCATTGGAGAAGTACATTCGCTTCTCTCATATTATCGTTCGCAAGCTGCGTTTCGCACCTCAGCTGTTAGTGCTATCCGCCCGCGTACTTTGATGCACTACCGGTGGTGCCAAGGGGGTGCTGGGATCGTACCACTGCGCATTGAGGATGCCGAGGCTATATGGAACTACACTTTCAGTCCCGATGAGGATCTTTGGCAGACCGAGTCGGCGAACAGGAGTGTTCTTCAAGCACTAATTGCCGACCTATGTGCGCCCGAGGCAAGGATCTGCCGCAATGGATATTTTGACCTGAGCATTCTCATAGAATGACGAAGCGGTCTGTCACACACAACGAGACACTCATTGATACTAGAACAGAGGAACAGAGAGATCTTTCTCTGCGGCTAGAATCTGCAGACTGAGGGCTGCCGGAGGTTCCATCGAATCCACCAAGGACGTAGAATCTGCAAACCGTTGCCATAGCTCCACTAATAGTTCGAGAACCTGATTGAAATGTGCAATGCGAAAATATTTCTGTAATCGGTGGAACAAGGCAACAAGCTCCCGCTGTAGCGATCTATCGTCGCAGATCTCGTTTCCGATCACCGTCATCGGCCAGATCATGGCGTTGGCGATGGTGATTTCCTGCTCCTCGGCAAGAGAAATCAACGATTGCAGCCCGAAGATCATCTCGCGGACGAATCTTCGGTTTATTCGCTCCCGCTGGATTGATCTCGGTGTGTATACGCTAGTCGCAAACCCACCACGGGTTAGATAAATATGTGCGGCTTTGCGTATGATCTCCCAGGCGTTGGTCAACGCAAGAGACAGTGTTGTCGATATGTGCGGTGGGATGGCGGGTGGCTCCCACTCGGCGATAATTACGTGCATTCGCGAGGTCCAATATGATACCGGACAATCTTGCAGAGAGACACTGTCATGATCGTCCGCCGACAGTGTTTCATCTCCCCGGCCTGTGTTCCGTAGCAGATCTTGGATGCAGCAAGCGATCCATTCGTCAACCACGGTGCCCGCACCGTGAACATCTTCCATGACCGCGGAAACAAGCGCAATCACTGTAATCAGCGTCTCGGGGTACCCTGTTGTGACCTCAAACGGCGAAAACGCTGCGGGTGCGTCTCCAGCAAATTCATCCCCTTGCCCCCTGGGCAGCGGACAAATCCCCCAGCGCAGCCATGTATGTTGACTCATCTCTGGCCGGTTCAAAGCAAAGGCGGAGATATCCCAATACGCGGCTATGGTTCGCGCATTCCGCACAAGCGGCACCGTGCGAAAGAGCTCGAGATCCAGCGACTCGATAAAAGCGATCATGCCCCTCACATGCACCGACCAGTTGTGGACTTTCTCCGGAAATCCGAATAGCGCCAACAGCTCGCAGGAGCACAGGACCTCCACAGCATCCCCACAGCTCACATGGCTCCCCAGCGTCTGTAGACGGGACAGCGTCGCTCGCACCTTGGTGATGGTCGCCTGGTACCAGTCGAGCGCTTCCCAACACGACAGGCTGTGCTGCGCATGGGGCGCCAACCCTCTCGCGGGATGGTTGGGGTGGGCGTGATCCTCGTCGGAAAGGCGTTGTCGCGCCGACAAGGCCAGCAGCGCGCTGAGAATAGTCGCATTCTCGGACGCCAGTTGGAGGATGTCTTCAAGTAAGGGCTGCGGGCATTCGCCAATTGCAACAATGGTCCGTCGGCAGCAGTGGGTCAGGTAGCGGATGTCCTGGTTCTCACGCCCGCTGAGTTTCAGACCCCGGTTGCGGCGAGGGAAGAGGGAGAACATCGTGCGGTCGACAGTCTGCGGAGGACGTGGAGCATCCAGGGAGAAATGACCGGCGGCTGTCAACGGGAAATAGTCGCCGTCGGCTGATTTCTCCCTCGGCACTAAGGTAGCCGCCAATGATGTCAACGCATCCATACATCCGAAGGTACTTAGAGTGCAACTCGCCAACAACGAGGGATATAAATGTACAGCCAAGTTGAGATACGGAGCAATGGCTGTTCCACAGGTAGATTCCGAGGCCACAATACCCCAGAAATATTCTCATCATGCCAAGCATCGTCGTGATCAACGGGGCAGACGCTATCACTCCGAGAACGCAAGAAGGAGCCGGAGCCTATACGGATCTCGCGGGCTCCGAGTACGTGCTTTCCAAGGCTATAGGACCAGAGAGCTAAGGTTCTGACTCTAGTGTTTCCGCCCCGCATCCGATAGTAGCTGGTGTCTGGGACCTGGTCGATCTAGACGAGCCGACTCCGATCTTTGAAGCGGAATGGGATGAGATGAAATACATGATAGCCGGTAAGCAACTAGACCGGACTTTGAGAATTCAATACGATCCATTGACCCCAAATATAGGGGAATTAACGCTGAGGAACGGAGAAACAGGAGAGATCAGCGAGCTCAGGGCAGGCAGCATGCTGTGGATTCCCACCGGCTCGAAGATGTCGATTATCAAGTCGAAGGGGGTGCGAGTTGTGTATGTGGAACAGCAGTATAGGAAGGGGATGTTTACCTCTTCCACTTGATGAGTGTGACATGGATCCATGAAGAATGGTATACCAATGCTAGAGTGCGAGACTAGCCTATGCTTAGTGCCCAGCGCTTAAACCAACCGAGCTTCCTGAGTTTGAACATAGCTTTGTATTATGTGAATCAATCATCCTCGCACCGCGGATGTAAGCCATGTGGGGAGGCAGAAAAGCCTTTGTCTCACAAGTGCCCGCGGATACTATATAAGCCATGCTCCATGCTCTCATTTTTTTCTTTTTTTTTTTTTTCTCGCCCCCCAATATAGCGCACAAATACACACCAGAACAGCCCACGACTATGACCGGCTTGATCCGCACCCAGATCCAGCAACTTATTGATGAGTTTGTCTGTGCAAATCCGCTCTCCAAAGCGGCATATGAACGCGCCTGCAATGTCCTTCCGGCCGGGAATACTCGCTCCGTCCTCTCGTCGGAACCCTACCCTCTCACTCTAAAGTCTGGTCACGACGCGTACGTGACATCCGTAGATGGCCGGGAGTATATCGACTTTGTGTCTGATTTCACAGCGGGCCTATACGGACACTCGCATGAGCATATACAGCGGGCGATCACGGACGCGTTAGCCACAGGGTTCAGTCTCGGTGGCGTCATTGAGAAAGAAGCGCAGCTCGGAGAGATCCTCCAGACCCGGTTCAAGAGTATCGAACGGGTGCGCTACTGCAATTCGGGGACCGAGGCGAATACGTTTGCCCTAGCCACGGCGAGGGCGTTTACTGGGCGGAACAAGGTGCGTTTCCTGATGTTGCTTGACGGTACTAGATATATACTACAGACGAGCCACTGACACCGCCCGTTCCATCGCTAGATCCTCGTATTTGACAGTGGCTATCACGGCGGAACGATCAGTTTCCACGGCACGCTGGGCAACCCAATGAACCTCCCGCACGAATTCGTGGTCGGTAGCTTCGACAACATCGAGCAAACACGACCGTTGATCGACGAAACTCTAGCCGCAATCCTCGTCGAGCCCATGCAGATGGCCGGGGGCGTGCGACCCGCCTCCGTGCAGTTCCTCCAGTTCCTACGCGACTCCGCCACGGCCGTCGGCGCAGTCGTGATTTTCGACGAGGTTGTGACGTCCCGGCTTCACTATCATGGTCTCCAGGGAGCTCTCGGGGTGTATCCCGATATGACCACCCTGGGGAAGTATCTCGGCGGTGGCTTCTCCTTTGGTGCGTTTGGTGGACGTGCCGACATCATGGAAATGTTCGACCCTGCTGTGCGCGGGGGCAACGTACTTCACCATAGCGGTACGTTTAACAACAACGTCTTTACCATGACGGCGGCTGTGGCTGCCGCAGAGCTAGTCACAGAGCCGGCACTGAGGGAGCTAAACCGGCTGGGTGATTGTTTGCGAGTGAAGGCGAATACCATTATCCAGCAAGCGGGAGTTGAGAACATGGTGTTTGTTGGCTACGGGAGCACAGTGGGCATTGGGTTCGTGGGGGAGCTCGGTCCTCCCCTGCGCGAAATGTTTTACTTCACCTTGCTGCAGCAGGGCATTCTTATCGGCCGTCGGGGATTTCTGTGTGTGAATCTGGCGCATACGTACGCCCAGGTGGAGCGATTCTTGGACGTTCTGCAGCGCTTTGTGGCGGAGTGGGCACCTATCCTGAAGGAAATATAGGAGTAGTACAACTAGTAATGCTGTGTGGCAGACATGGGGTCGTGCGAGAATGTCTCCTATTCTGCTCTGTTGAATTTAAGAAAAAGCCCCGACGGCTCCTTTCAGATTTGCGCCAGTGATCTTCAGTGACCCACTCCTCCGATAGTCATGCTGTGACGATAATGCCTCCACAGTCTTGTGTGTCTCCGCTAGGTCAACCTGCTCAAGGAGCTGGCGCTATATTTCCAACGCCATACACCGTACTGTCCCCTTCAGAACTGCTGGCAGCTTTCCCATCCAGTATCATGTCTCCTAGCAGCAGCAGCAGCAGCTCGCTGGTACCCGTCGACAACCAAGATTTACACTCTACAGAAGGCCCCAAGAAGGATGATGGCGAGACAGAAGATGGTATCATTGCTGAGCTTGGCTATGTGGTCGCCTATCGGAGGGTCTTCCGCTCTCTTGGGAATATGTGCATGGTGCTTGCGTTGACATCGTACGACCCTATTCTGATCTCTACTGCAAATTCCATTTGCTGCGCCAGTACTAAGCCGGTATACCTTCTCGCAGTCCCTTGAGTGCCATTTTAATTACCGCAACCTACCAAATCCAATATGCGGGATACTGGGGTTTATCATGGTGAGAGAGAGACCGTATCTGCCAACTCAAGGCGTGGTTACTAAACTCAGTCCAGGGGATGGATTATCCCAAACGCCCTCCTGTTGCCAGAAGTCCTTGCAATCGCAGAGCTCGCCTCTTCCATGCCAGTCAATGGCTCATTCTACTGGTGGGCGGGTGCCCTGGCACCGCCCGCCTGGTCTCACGCCGTATCGTTCATTACAGGCTGGATGAATGTGTTGACCATGTTCGCCTCCACTGCCACCTTTGCCTACGCCGTTGCCTCATCCCTCTCCTATGGCGTCACGATCGCATTACCAGACATGATCTGGACCAATGCGCAGGTTATGGCCCTGTCGCTGGCTGTGGTCCTCATCTGGAGCGCCATAATGACATTGAGGCTGGAGCGCATCGCTTTTGTGTATATCTCAATGGGTACGTACGTGGCTTCTTTCCCGATGCTTCATCCGCCATCACATACCTCTTGTCGCTGATCCTTGCGGCATCAGCCGTTCTCATCCTGGTCCAGGCTCTGATGCTCATTATCGGTTTACCAATCACCCACGCGATCCAGAATCGTCCATTCGCTTCCGCGCAGGCGGTATTCGGCGAATATTTAAACTCGTCCGATTGGGGACCGGAGGTAGCAGTCCCGTATTCTTGGTTCTGTGCTCTCTGGGTTAATTCCGCCTGGATGGTCCCCGTCTATGTCTCTGAAGAGACCCATAATGCTAGCAAGGAAATCCCAAAATCGCTCTTATACACATTCGCGGCGACCGCGGCCTCCGGCCTCGTCGTGTGCCTGCTCTTTGCATTCTGCATCCCAGACATGGAGGCTGTGGCGGCAGATACATCGTACGTGTATCCTCTCTTGTCCTTTACGCACACCACGATGGCGTCCTAAGTATTTTCTTTCCACCAGCGGATATCCACTGTTCACCGTAGTCTTTGACCACCTCGGCGAAGCCGCATCTCTTACCCTCTTCTCCATTGTCGTCCCCGTCGGCTTCATCGGCGGCAGCGGCACCCTTCTCACATACGCGAGCCAGATCGCCGCCTTTTCTCGCGACGGCGGCTTCCCCTGGCACGAGCGAATGGCCTACATCCACCCGCGTCTCAACCTCCCGATCTACGCCCTCAGTCTCCTCGGAGCGGGAACATTCCTCGTGCTCATCATCGCGCTCTCACCCAAAGCCAGCTCGATCATCTACTCCCTATCCGTTGTCTCCAGCCTGGTCACATTTATCATCCCGATCTTCTTCCGCATTGTTGCGGGTAATCGATGGGTTCCCGGGCCGTGGAGCCTCGGACGATGGAGTATCCCCATTCATACCTTGGCTGTTGTCACGCAGCTGTATCTCATCATTATGGAGTGCTTCCCGCCGGAGCGGGCATGGACGGCGGAAACGTTTAATTATAACTTTGCGCTGACCGTGGGAGCTTTCCTAATTGCGTGTGGATTCTACTGGGGCATGGGGAGGAAGACGTACAGGGGACTAGATATGGAGGCGTTGGAGGCGTGGAGAAGAAATCATGCGGATCTTGCTGGTCATCCTGGGTGATGGATGGGCGCAGTCAGGGCTCTATCATATGATGCTTGTGACTACCGGGGGTGCAAGCACTTCCGAACCGTTATGCACCGACATATACTTCCATCATTATCGTTCACACATACTACTTCTTATGTATCCACTATTGTGCGTCTGTCTGGCTATGAGAACTCTCTCGTTCCTCCCATACCGTTCGCTGAGCTGAGCAACAGCGTTCGATCCTGAGTGGCCATCTAAATACTATCGTTAGCATGGGTTCTGCCTCAAAAGTCCTCGACTCAAATCAGCTGAAACTTGACAGTAAGGCTACTTTTATGTCTTTGGAGGTTTAAAGAGCCCAGGTAACGTGGCTTCAAAGAGATCATAGAGATAGGCAAACGCCCCAAAAGAAAAAAGATCACAAGCTTTTTGCTTAGCTCCATAAGATCATGACCGACTATTGTGATTTCAAAAATTGATTGTCCGTCCCAACACGTTTATGCTTATTACAGTTTACGTTTGTGACGTTGATGCTGAGATCTGAATTGCGTCAAATTTCGTCATGTACAGTACTGAATCTAACAACCCGGCCACCACCACAAAAGGCTTCAGGCCTTCCGACAATTATAAGTAAGATGCCACGGCGGAAATTCATGAGGAATAGATGCTCATAGAAAGACCTCAGCAACATACCGAGGACCTTTGAACTCGTCGGGGGAGCAGGAAACAATCTTAGACAACGCCTTCTTAACCCCTTCGTTCATCTTAGTCCCACCGCAGACAAAAATCCTTGCACCCTGTTCCCATAGACTCTTTACGGTTGATTGTTCCATCCACAGTAAGTCTTGAACGTACCGACAGTCAGAGGAGTGATCCGGTGCTCTGCTAAATGCTCTAAATATGGTCACCACTTCCTGTGACTCGAAGTCATTGAGTTCATCACGATAGAGATCATCAAGCAAGGGATCTCTACAGCCGAAGAATAGCATTGCGGGGGCCAGCTTGATCCCTGTTTGATTCCGTATGGCTCTCTCCTGGATGAAAGCCCTGAAAGGTGCAATTCCAGAACCCGAAGCTACCATGATGATAGGCAGGGAGGACGACTGCGGGGGGAGACGGAAATCTGGGCTTGGATGTCTCAGGGATACCCTGAGTATAGTCCCAGGGACGCAGTCCAGCAAGTGATTTGAGGCTACCCCACGATGATGGCCAGCTGTACCGTTTCTCGGTTCATCGACAATCGAAATAGTCAATGATGCCAGGCCAGGTTTGGACCTCGGGGAAGAGGAGATTGTATATAGTCTTGCGCGGATCGGAGCCAGCATTTGAAGGTAATCCTCAAAGGTGATTGAGTTCGAGGAAAATTGATCTAACACATCAATAAGAGAGGCGCGGTTTTCTCGGACGTGTGTAATGTATTCGTCTCCAGCCAATCTTAGCAGTTTTTCAGCGGTAGCTGTATCCGTGGCCTTTGCCGCCAATGCTTTCAAGCTCTATCGAACGTGGATAAGCATCTGTCGGTATGTAGGATAAGGTTGCTTACCAGTGGCGTAGCCAACTGCCCCAACTCCACATATCCACTCAACAAGTCGGCCACCGAAATCGGTGTGTCTGTTGGCAAAGACGTCGCGGACCCCGAGGTGACGTACACGATACTATCTTCGCCCATTCGGAAATGGGAGAGAACTCGTTGCACATTTTGTCGAGAGTTCAGAGGTAGGATGGCTAAATGATCTCCGGCTTCGTATTTGAGATGGTCTGGTAAGGCGATCTCCACGTGTATCTTCTTCGATGTACTTGGTGACGTGAGCACTTGGACAAGTTGAACGACCGCCGTGTCATATTCCGCACGCAACGAGTGTGGAGGTCGGATATTCACTCTAACTGTGTCGACCCGGGTAGAAAGGATGCAATCGCTGCTGAGGTCGACTGTTTCTTCCAGCGCCGGCAAAAGTTCCTTCTCTGTCCAGGATTCTAGCTCTGCAAAGGGGTCCTGCTCCGCTGTATCCACAGAACCACGCTGAGCGATACGCTTTCCGCCATGCTCCTCGAGCAGGGTGTCCACGAGAGTCGGGATTCGATGGAAAGTGGCAGTCCAGTCTCGATGCCCTGTCAAGCTTATTGTCAGTAACTTTGGGTCCTGGACGAAGGAGGTATAGAGCAGGCCGCCCTACCGCATCCGAAGACCGCGTAAGTGATTCCTTGCAACACCTCTCCTTCGATCCCAGTAAGCCAGTCGACAAACTGTGCCGCATTTGCAGGCGGTCTTCCATCATAAGATCCGGTGATAATTAGCACCGGCTCGGACTTCGGCAACTCGTCCTTGATGGATGCGTCCATATATTTCACTTGACAACTGAGAGGCTTCTTGCTACTCAAAATTGATCCCAATCGATGGGCCAGAGCCTCACAAGTTCCGCTGTTGGATCCATAAAGGATTGTAGCTGGAATGGAAGCCTCAGATGCTGTCCTGGCCGCGAAAGCTTTACTGGATGGCGGTACTGTTGGTGCTGCCAGTAATGAAGACTTGAGTATCTCTCGACCCGGTCGTGGTGTAGCATGGGCCCACAGATTGTCTGGTTTGATAGTAAGCGTTTCTTTGAGTTGCAAGTCGTAGTCCTTGTCCACTAAGCTCATGCTGAAGTTTTGTAGACAAAGTACGAGGATCTATGCTGGGCCGAGATTAGCTTGCGAACGTACACTAACTGACGCAGTGGTCAACAATGAAATTAGCGAATGGGCCGACTGACTATCAATGCCTCCTGCCACGCAAACGCCCTCCCGATACAGCCTCTTTTACCATTGCCAAATGGCTTCCAGGAGTTCACAGGAAGCTTCTGAAAGTCTTCATCTAGCATCCTCTCCGGTCGAAACTCATCCGGATCAGGGCCGTATACGTCAGGATCACGATGCACCGCAGCGAGAAAGATATCGAGAGAATCTCCCGGGTTGACCTCGAATTTACCACCAATGATTTCCGTCTTATAGGGCGTCACAGAAAAGCCGGGCGCTGTGGGCATTAACCGGAGGGTCTCGCGAAGAACGGCAGTCAAATATCTTAGTTTGGACAGGTGTTCCACTGTAAGTTCCTGGCCTCCAACAACACGATCGACCTCGTCGGTCGCTTTGGCCATAGCAATCGGGTGTTTCAGCAAGTAGTACAACACGAAAGATAAGAGCCCAGATGTCGTTTCATGCCCTGCTACTAGAAAGGTCAGCATATTATCGATGATCGATTCGTCGGTCATGGCCTCTCCAGACACATTATCTCTGGCATTCATCATGGTATCCAGCAGGTCGTTTCGGGTCCGGGGATTTGATTCCCGTCGGTCCTTAATGAGGTCCTGGCAAATTTTGCGCATCACCTCAACATCCAGCTTCAAACTCTTCTTTGCACGGAAACGGAAACGGTTCAGAGCAGAGGGAAGAGTCGCTTGCATGTCTGCCTCTTTTAGGAAACGGACCATGCTATTAACAAATGGGTGAAAATCTCCTTCGAAGTAAAAGCTGTTGAATCGATAGCCCATCGCACATAGCGCGATGGTGTCCAGCGTCACGCGCGTAAAGTCATCCGTTAGGTTCAATGGTCGCTTGGAACCATACCGTTGCCTGAATTGACCATTTTTGTCAGAAGACAGATCACATGTGCGGAGGGGGACCAGGGAAACATAGTATATTTTGGTACCATTTCATGCAGAGTTGTTGCGCAATATCACACATCTCAGGGAACATGGCGCGGATGCGAAGAGGCCCAAATGCCGGGACAAGCAGGCGATGAGCCAGCTGCCAATTCTTCTCATCGTCACGGGCAGTGAATAGACCATCGTTTGTACCCGCGCGCAGTGCTTCCAGACTGGATGAAACGTGCTTGTGGAAGCGGGTCTCATCACAAAGCTCCGAAGTCAGAGCAACGCTATTTATAGCAATCGAGGTTTGTCCCGCAAATGTCATCCTAAAGATCGGATCTTCAGATGTAGGTTCAGCGTTCATGAGCGATCCTCCTTGTGGGGAGATCTATACTCACAGTAACGTTTTGCGAGTTCTAGAAAGGACATAGTACCATTTTCGAGGTCTATATCCAATAGGTTGCCGATGATGGGCAAGGCTGGAGTACAGTTAGGCATTTACTTTGTCCATATCTCATAGTTCTAGGAGTAACGGCGTACCGCGTGGCCCTGGAATTGGGCAGATTTGGCTCTCTTTCCCTGTACCTGGCATATCTCCTATGCAACCCAAGCTGATGGTACCGGCCGTGTTGGTGTTAGCTCTCCGGATTTTCAGGGGTAAGCTGCGACACTTAGAATATGTGTTTGGGAAGCGATATCACGTCAACTTACTCGTCCACATGCCGAGCCAGGCTTTCTTATCTCGACAGGAACCAATTGCTTTTATTCTGCCGTAGGCTGTAACCAAGAAGCCACCAAGGCAGCATGAGGAGGAACCCGCGGGCCCCGCGCGTATGAGATGCAGCGTAACTCGAGAAAATCCCCGTCGGCTGTTTTCGACCGCCCCGCGGAGGCCCATACTGTCGTACACTAAACCTCAAATTCACGCGTAGCCCAGAAGTTGTCGCGTTAGTTATGGGTGAAGGGAGTACTGATCTGCTGTGGGGTGGAAGACAGCTCGAAGATCCTGAAATCTTCCGTGACGATGCCGTTAGAGAAGCATGTTGGGTAGGAGGCGTCTGGACCGGCACATGCACACCCTATCCGCCTGGATCAGCTTGCAGTGTTGGACTTATTGGACAGCCTGGCGATGCCCAGCCCAGCCCAGACGACATGTCTGAGCATCACGACTGCATGGGATGAGACTTCGTTAGCATGAAATCCTATGTAGAATAAAGGACATTAAATCACCATGATAGGTACTATATGCATATTGAGAGCGGCATTAAATACAAAATCGGCATCTTACTCCCGGCCGAAATCTGCAAGATATCATTCAAAGTGCAAGACCAACTAACCGTGCATATGCTGCAGTGGTGCGAATTATCCTCCTCACTTTTTACTCTCTCGTCACAGGCTTCCCCGCACACCATAGATTAGTGCAACCGTTATACTCTACAACACGTGTATAACCAACTCATCCCCCAAATTCCAAAGACCACTACTGTTTTCATAGACGACAACTCATCCTCGGCAACCAGATCCAAACAACGGGACTCGTTCCGCCCTCATGCGGGGATTCAGATACCTATATAGAATCACATCTACATCAGTAGCCTACTACTACTACTACTACCACAATTCTCCCATCCTGTTGGTATCCTACTACTAGCACATCCCCCAGCCCCTTATCAATGCTATCATCATGGCCCTCCTAACCACCACACTTGCCTTCCTCTCCCAACACATCCCCTCCATCCTACTAACAATCCTCATCATCCACCTCACCCGGAATTACTTCACACCCGGAGTATCGCACATCCCAGGCCCCTTCCTCGCCAAACTCACCAATCTGTGGCGGTTCGTAGATGTAGCGCGAGGCAAAGCGGAGATCACACATTATCGGCTGCACCAGGAACATGGCGAGTATGTGCGGTTGGGACCGAAGGTCGTTAGTGTGTGGAATGTGGAGGCGTTGAAGGTGATTTATGGGGTTAATAGGGGGTATAAGAAGGTATTTTCATTAATCTTCTCCTACTATTTCTAGTTTGAATTTTTGGGAGGATGAAGTATGTTTGTGTGAATATACTAATAAACAATGCATACATAGACTGCATTCTATCGCGTCCAGCAACAACTTGCAAAGGGAAAGCCGACTAAAACACTGTTTACGTCCCTTGACGAGGATTTTCATGCTAAGATAAAACGACCCGTGTCGGCGTCTTATTCGATGAGCACGGTTGCTGAGTTCGAGCCGTTTGTGGATAGTACAATACGGACGTTTTTTGCGCGGTTGGATGGGTTTGCGGCGAATAGGAGTATGTTTGATATTTCGACGTGGTTGCAGTATTGTAAGGCATATGTTTTGGGCACTGATTGTTGGCTGTAAGCTGATATGGGCAGATGCGTTTGATGTCATTGGTGAGATGACGTTCAGCAAACAACTTGGGTTCTTACAGCAGGGTCGTGATGTTGAAGGTATCATCATGTCGTTGGAGAAGACGTTCGATTATGCGGGAAAGGTGGGTTGCATGCCAACACTTTGTTTCCTCATTTTGACAGGTCGTTCGTCTATAGATTGGTCAAATACCCTGGCTTGATTATGTCTTTCTCAAGAACCCTCTCTGGCAGCTTATCCAGGGCGGGTCAACAGGAGCTGTTGCTCGTTTCGCCCGCGACCGCTTGCATGAACGGCTGTCTCAGGATGGCAGTAAGCGAGATGATTTCCCTGGACTTCACAAAGACTTCTTGACCCGCTTCTTGGAAGCGAAATCTATTCACCCTGACGTGGTCGACGACGCCCAGGTATTTTCCTACACAGTCAGCAATGTCAACGCAGGCTCTGATACCACTGCTATCTCTCTCCGAGCGATCCTGTACTATACGTTGAAGTACCCCAGGGTATTGAGCAAGCTGCAGGAGGAATTGCATAGCGCCCTCCAATCTGGGAAAATTACCGTTCCTGTATCATGGAAACAAAGTCAGGAACTTCCATATCTCGACGCCGTCATCAAGGAGGCTCTTCGTCTGCATCCACCCGTGGGACTCCTCTTGGAGAGGGTAGTCCCCGCAGAAGGCCTCCAATTGCCAAACGGCCCCTTCCTCCCCGCCGGGACTGTTGTTGGAGTCAATCCGTGGATAATCCATCGCCACGCTATTTTTGGCAAAGAGGTTGACAGGTTCGTCCCTGAGCGTTGGCTGCGGGGTAACGATGAATCAGAAGCGGAGTTTCAGATACGAAGGCAGAATATGCTAGGGGCAACGCTGACGTTTGGGGCCGGCCCCCGAACCTGCATTGGGAAGAACATCAGTCTGTTAGATAATATATAAGCTGATACCATCGTTGCTCTTGGCATACAAGGTATGTGCACTGCCATCACCTCTTTTTTTCTGGTAATTCCGCGATCTCTGGCTGACGGGTGGCTGTTACAGGTTGAATTGAATGATCCGGAAGCTGAGTGGGAGGTGGTCAATGCATGGTTCGTACGACAGAAAGGGATGAACGTGAAAGTGACGCGAGTGGCATAGTGCACAGTTAACTGTCAGATGGAAGGGTGAAGTGAGATGACTTTTCGTCGGGAATAAGATCCTGCGATGGATCCTGCATGCAAGGCGCTCTTAGGAAGTCCGACGGTCAAGCCCACTCGGTAATCTTAATAGAAGGGGAACTTGGCATCATCCCTTTTGGTCGCCACAAAGCGGCATGGTCAAGAGCCGAAGAGAACAAGCAAGAGCAATCGAATGTACTGCCCTCTGGGGCCCCGACTATCTACTATAATTCCTGTGCGAGAACACGTTCGTCATGGCGATGACGCGCAGGAGACCCACCAGTTGGCGGCATTATCCCAATGTGGGCGCACTAGGAATTGCGGTGCTGATTTCCGATAAGGGATCATCAAGCGCATCCTTGGGTTCCGTTCGTATTAATAGAATCAATTTCGCTTTCGCATGTTGCTCCATATAAGGACGAAGCGGCGGAGCTGAAGTACATCGAATTTCCGGGACAGCGCAATCTCTCTCAAGGGATGCTATCTAGCTTTAGAGTTTCTGACAGTCCAAATTTTGGTGAACTAAGTTAAGCCATGCATGCGAGATATCCACCCCAGCGACTCATATCATAAGAATGAGTCCTAACCTGCAGATGATAAGCGATACATCAGATATGACCCGAATGATTGGACAGCGGCCAATGGCACCAAAGTTGGTTGCCTTTCGGTAGTAGAGAATAGAGTGAAGCGGTACTATCCATGGTGCCTTGAAGCATCAAACTTAATCAAATTGGGTTTAGGGAAAAGTTCCCGAAGCAGTAGGAAGTGGTGGGGCACGGCAGCATCACGGGACGATCGATCCCCGCTAGAATCATGTGACGGAGTAATGCTGTTCAAGCTCACTCAGCGATGGCGGTTAATAATCATCGTGCTCGACATCAATTTGGGGGGAGGGGAGGGGGAGATCGGAAAGATAGCATCCGGTGTTGGTTCGGGAAGGGCAAACAAACCTAGGTGGGCCTCAAACCAGAGGGCCAGAAGGGATAAAACAGTTTGTTCGACAACAGACTATCAAAAAGGGCAAGCAGCTGTCGAGCGAATCGAACCTTGGCGCTTCGGCGGGTGGGACCCGACTAGGGGCAGCTGAAACCGACTCCGCCCGGTACGTTCGTATTGTGTCAAACCGGTTTTTCGCTTTCCGTACCAAGGAAGTTGCCAACGTTCGTCGTCATAATTCCCACCACTGGGAATAACCTGCTGGAGTTAACTGGCAGTTGGTAAATGAGCATCATCAACTGTTATGCCATCCAGGCAACCTGTCTGGACGATCGCTTCTTCATCCAACGGTAGATATGCAATGCATCCAGCCGGTCTCCAGACGGCTCGGGGCGGACCCTCCCAACTGCAAACTGCGAGGGATGTGGTTGGCGCAGCTCAAGAGACAGACAGAGATGTCCAGCGTCTCCCCATACATAACGTCACCGCGGATGCAGCTTCTATGGAGCAACATGTATGTAGGAGTGACCTATCATGATTGAAAAGTACTATGCAACAAGGCGACGAAATAGGCACCTTGTAGATGATAGATAGATGGAAGTGGTTGAGACTGCGCGAGACTCTGCAGACTGCCTGACTTCTTTGAGATCGCCCCTGCAACCGTTGTGTAACCCCCGTCTCGGGGTGAAGAGGAACGCAAAGCCATTGTGAAGTCTACAGGCTGCATTGGCGTACTTTTTCTACATGGCACCACACTCCGAGGTCATCCGCAAGTGCCTCGACTGATTGCACTAGACATATACAGAAAATCATCAACCTCAAACGCCGTTGGTGAGACTGATCTCATCCTGGCGTCAGACTGAAACCCATCGTGTACCAAGTAAAAAAACCAAACCAGTTGTAATCAGAATACGGTACCTGAAATTAGCTGTGAAATTAGCACGGCAAGGCGTTTAGCTTACCGGACAGGGTCCGTAATAACCGGATGGATTTTAATTTTCAACTTCACGACTTCGCTGGAAATCGTACGCGCTAGACTCGATCGAGGCCCGCAGCGATTTTCCCCTTTTCCCTTTCGGCTCTCGCTTTTTATTCTTCGTCGTCGTCGTCGTCCACCTCCTCTTTTTCTGACTCTCTCTTCTCGCTCTTGTTTTACGTCGTGAGATGAAGTCTCGGATTGATCCTCTGGCAGGTTCGTGAGACTCGGTTGATGGACTGCTGCATCGCGCGCTGCCGGGGCGACTATTAACTTGGCCTGCACTTTTCTTTTCCATCCGCTCGTTTCACTTCGCGCCTGACGGGGCAGCTCGACCGCTTGACCGGTCTCTTCACTCGTTCACCACTGCCCTGCAGTCTTTCTCTACGCGCTTACTCTATTCTCGTTGCTTTTTTCCTCCTCTTCAACTCGCCTCCCTTTGCCTCTTCACCCATCCTTATCAACTGTCGCCCGCCCGTTCGCCCCTGAAATCAGTCCTCGACTGCGTCTTTCCATTCTACACTCACCGACCAATGTCCAGCGGGAACTGGGATCTATCATCTCGTGGCCATGGTCACAGGAAATGGAGACTTTCGATATCCGCCCCTTGCAGGCGCGCATGATATCCCCAGCCGACGCAGGATCCCGAACCCTCCCCGCCTAGATCCGTTGAGACTTAATCCTCCCTTTCCACGCCCCTCGACCGCCGACGGCGTTCGCCCTCCTCCCTCTCAGCGCCCCCCCGTGCCTTCCCCGCGACTGCACCCTGCACAGGTGGCTGCTGCTGATCCATCATGGCGCTCCCCTTCGCCTCAACCCAGAGATGATGACTATTTCGTCCCCCGCAAGCCCGCCCTCCGTACGCCAACATTCCCGGTATCACCAGGTCGTCGTCAGGGATATCCTTCCAGAGAGGCTGAATTCGATCGCCCACCGCCCCGGAAGCTTCCGCCAGGCGCACCAGGATTGCGCATCTCCATGTCTACCTCCAAATTGCACAATCGACGCCAACGGCCCCCTCGGTCACGAGAACGGTACCCAGATGATGCGTATGGATTGGCATTGCCTCGCGTCGTGCCTCCGGGGAGCTATGCAGACGCACATGGAGAAGATGCACTGCGATCTAGTATCAACTCCGCCATGACATCGCGATCCAGCATCGAGCAAGCCAGCGGAACTGAGCGCAGTAGTGTTCTCACCAAGAGTAGTTCGATAACCGACCTGTCTCCTGACACGCCCGATGGGCCTTGTGAAAAAGATGGGGGCATGAGTGTGGAAGATGCCATTTCCATGTACCTCGACGGTTTTAGCGATGTGACGGAGGAACCTGGGACGCCAGATATATATGACGACGAGAAAGTCAGACCGTGGAGCCCATGTCCGCCCACGGAATATACGCTCGATGATGGTCATACTTCCGATGAGCATTCGCCCGATATGGACCCTACTGAGGATCTTCCGCCTGTACCACCGCTCCCTGAGCTGAGTGCCCCTGTACGAGGGCCACTAAGCGATCGCCATGAGGAAGAGGAAGTTCCACCTGAAGAGCCACCCGTTGAGACACCATTGAAGTCACCCGGGTCCGAGCGTCAAGAAAGAAAGGTCGTGCTGCCCGGAGTGGTGCCTCCGCCCCTCCTGTTGGGAACGGACTCGCGCGATCGCTACGGGTTTCGAAAGGCTACCCATCATGTGACGCTTGCCCAGTGGGAGGCGTGGAACAGCTCATACTCCGACTTTGCCGCGACCCAGCGAATCAAGTGGGTGGAACTGCTCCGCCAAAATCGGCTGCCGATCACAGATCCGATCTCCTTCCCGCCAAAATCAAACAAAGTCAAAAAGTTTGTACGCAAGGGAATTCCTTCGGAGTATCGAGGAGCCGCCTGGTTTTTCTACGCTGGTGGGTATGAGCATCTGAACCGGAATCCCGGGCTCTACGACCAGCTTGTCCGGCAGGCCATGGATTCCCCAAGCAACGACGACAAGGAACACATTGAACGCGACTTACATCGGACGTTTCCGGATAACATCCACTTTAAGCCTGAATCGGTCGAACAATACGGAGGCTCCAGCGCTGGCGCTGGAAGCAGCAACCCGAAACACGAGTCCGTGACGGTTGAGACAGAGATGATCCAGTCGCTCCGGCGCGTGCTGTATGCATTCGCGGTGCACAACCCCCAGATCGGATATACGCAGTCGCTAAACTTCATCACGGGGTTGCTGCTGCTGTTCATGCCGGAAGAGAAGGCGTTTTGGATGCTGCACATTATCAGCTCGGTGTATCTCCCAAGCACGCACGAGATCAGCTTGGAGGGCGCTAACATCGACTTGTGGATTCTCATGGTGCTGCTCAAGGAGACGTCGCCACATGTGTACAACAAAATCGGTGGCGGGCTCGGTGGCGGCTCGCGGGCGCCCGCGCTGACGGTGACGTCGCGGCTGCCGGACATTACGCTCGGGCTGACGAACTGGCTGATGTCGGTATTCATCGGGACGTTGCCCCTGGAGACCACACTACGGGTGTGGGATGTGTTCTTCTACGAAGGGTCCAAGACGTTCTTCCGCGTGTCACTAGCCATCTTCAAGTCGTGCGAGCGAGAGATCATGGCAGTGTCGGATCCAATGGAGGTGTTCCAGGTGGTACAGACAGTGCCGAAGAAGCTGCTGGACGCCAATACTCTGATGGACGACTGTTTCGTACGACGACATCGGGTTGGACAAGGCCGCATTGACGAGCTGCGCGCCGCGCGACGGGCAGCAGTTCGACACGAGAACATGCGGCGGTCGCGGGCGTGGAACAAAGGGCAGATCCAGGCAGCGACAGACGAGTGGCCAGGACGATCGCGAACACCTATCCCAGGCATCGAGCGCAAGATCGGGGATTCGTGGCGACACATGCGGAACCATGCATTTCGGTAGGAGCTGAGGAGTGATGGTTGGCTTTTATTGATACCCCCAAGCAGCTTTATTGTATTTGAACCGGTCAGTCCACCGTTTACCTGGTCCGGACTATCTATTTGTACTCTGCGACCTCTTAATCTTAATAGACTCGCGGGTTTCAGGGCGCAGGCCGGATGGACTGACGACACGCCTGACGATGTTACATGTACATACTGCATATTAGCTTAGATATATGAGTGGCATTGATTCACATATTTTCATTTCCTAATTTTCTATTATTTACACTCGTTTGAGGTGACTTCAGGGAGAGGAATTAAGTTTGAGGATCCGTGGGGAGCCAACACAGCGGCCGGTCGATCCCGCCTCGATGACGCGCTCGAGCTGCAGTGCAACCCTCTCCTGCCCGGATTGTGACGTTGACTTTCTCTCCAGATAATGAGGTGTTTTTCACCTCTGAATCTCTCCTTTTCTGCATTCACAGCACGCAGTCATGAGTGGCCAGGCATCCAGCTATTACAACGCTAATCAGAGCTTTGGCGATCAGCCTCAGCCTCAGCCACCGCAGCAGCAACAACAATATGCCTACTACAACTACAATCAAGCTCCTCAGCCAGCACCCAACCAACACAATGGCGGCGATTATCGAGGACCTGAACCGAAACCTCCTCAAGGACCCCCTCAGGGACCTCCACCAACCTACAACCAAGCCGTATATGGGTTTGACGAAGCTTTCCAAGTCGAGCGACCCAAATACAATGACATCTGGGCGGGACTTCTAGTAGGATAACCCGATACTTCTACACAAAGCTTCACAACTAAACTGCTGGCAGTTCATCGCCGTGTTCCTCGGCTACGTGGCCGTGTCCGGTGTGACCATCCATCGCTATGCGAAATACAAAGGCTTCAGCGGCGGCGGCATCTATGATGCAACCAACGACTTCTCCCTTAACACCAACACCCTCGTGCTCTTCATCTTCGTCCTCTGCGTGGCTCTCGCCTTCTCGTATGCCTACTTCCTCGGTGCGCGGTACTTCTCCAAGCTCTTCATCTGGGTCACGGGCATCCTGAACATCATCTTCGCCCTCGCCACGGGCATCTACTACATCGTCCGCGGTCAATACGGTGGCGGCATCGTCTTCCTCATCTTCGGCGTCTTCGCTATCGTCTGCTTCATCAGCTGGATCCCCCGCATCCCCTTCACGGCCTACATGATGGAAGTTTCCATAGACGTCTCCCGCCAATACGGCCACATGTTCCTGGTCAGCACCATCGGCGGCCTAGTGGCCGTCGCCTTCGCCGCTTGGTTCTCTGTTACGCTCGTGTCTATCTACGTCGCCTACGAGCCCGATAGCACCGGCGTCAACCCAGCCTGCCCCAACGGCTCCGGCGGCTGCAGCACCGCCCGCGTCATTGGTCTAGTCGTCTACGTCACCTTCGCCATGTACTGGTTCAGCGAATGGCTTAAGAACACCGTGCACACCACCATCGCAGGCGTTTATGGCTCCTGGTACTTCTTCGCCAACTCACCCCAGGGCATGCCGCACGGTGCAACGCGCGGCGCCTTCCGGCGCGCCACCACCTACTCCTTCGGCAGCATCAGTTTCGGCTCGCTCATCCTCGCCGTGATCCAAATGCTCCGGCAGGCGTGCTCCATCGCCCAGCAGCAGGAAGCCGCTCAAGGTAGTATTATCGGTAGCATTGGGTTCTGGGTCCTGGGCTGTTTCATCTCCTTGCTTGATTGGCTCGTTACGTTCTTTAACCGCTACGCTTTCTGCCATATCGCCCTGTACGGGAAAGCATATATCCCCTCTGCCAAGGATACGTGGAAAATGATGAAGGATCGTGGCGTGGATGCCCTGGTTAATGATTGTCTGGTGGGGCCGGTGATAACGATGGGCTCGGTGTTCGTGTCGTATGTGTGTGCGCTACTGGCATATCTGTACCTCCAGTTCACGAACCCGGGGTATAACCAGGGTGGGGACTTCACGGCGGTCATTATGGCCTTTGCGTTTGTAATTGGATTGCAGATCTGTCAGATCTTTATGACGCCGGTGAGTAGTGGCATTGAAACGATCTTTGCTGCTATGGCGTGGGATCCGCAGGTCTTGGTACATGATCATTCCGAGATGTATTATCGCTTGGTGCAGTTGTATCCGAAGGTGCAGCAGGCGATTCATGCTTGAACAGCAGTGAGGATTTCGTGTTCTTGACAGTATCAACTTCCATTCAGATATAAAGAGAGACGATACTAAACTATACTAAATCATACTACACATATCATACTCATAACATAACCCCCACTCCCCTTTCCCCCTCTATCCTCCCCAACAAGTTCATTCATGAAATGGACAGACAGACAGATCAAAGAACCAAACCCACCCCCACAACCCCCACCACAACCCCCATCAACAATCCCCCAACTCCCCCTCCTCCTCCTACCCTACTCGCACCCCCCTCAAACAACGCCCCAGTCCCATTATTCACCCCATCAACCCGACTCGCATCCACCCCACTAGGCATCGACATCACCACCGACGACGACGACACCACCGCCCCTGACGTCTCCGCCGCCTGTGTTCCAAACAGCCTTGCTGATGTACCAGTAGGAGCAGCATCAGCAGCAGCAGTAGCGGCAGTTCCACTCTCCAATCTCAACTCCGAGGCATGCGCATCGCCAGTAGCGGCTGGATGCTCACACGCACAGTCCGTCACGGTCTCCGTGTACATCTTGTATACTACGTTTGGGTTCGTAGCGTCTGTCATGTGTACCCCGTGATGCTCGGTTATGGTCGCCGGTGCTTCGATGCGCGCTTCGGAGGTCTTGGTTTCGGTTTTGGTTTTGGTGGTCGCTTCGATGCGGTCTTCTGATGAGTCGTCTGAGGAGACTTCTTGGGTGGTGGTGGTTGTGTCGGGTGAGGGTGTGTCGGCGTTAGGGTCTGGGGAGGGTGGTGCGTATGCGCGCTTTGAGGCCTTGTAGTTGGAGTGTTGGGGTGTGAATATGTTGCCGCTGTTGCCGTTGCCGTTTCCGTTGCCATTTCCGTTGCCGTTGCCATTCCCATTCCCGTTGCCATTTCCGTTGCCATTGCCGTTGCCGTTGCCGTTGCCATCCGTACTGGCACCAGAGCTGGTCGTATCAACCCGCATCATGGGACTACTTCCCTTGCGTGCATCAATGGGGACGTCGGTGTCGCTGCATACGTAGTCGGGGATGTTGGATGGTGCTATCATTTTTCCTCATTAGCATTATTTCCCCGGTTTTCTGTTTCATAGAACATAAAAGGGGTGGGGGAGAAGATAGACGTACAAACACCCTCATGCGCACAACTCTCCAAAGTCTTCCGGTCCAGCGAGGACGGATCAAACGGTGCGTTGCAGAAGCAGTCTAGTACTGAGGGGGAAGTGCATTCTGCGCTGCGCGGGTAGGTTTCTGCGATGGAGGACTATCGTTCATTCATTCATTCATTCATTCATTAGCTCCAGATCTATATTAATTGTACGTGAGAAAGTGGGAGAGAAATAGGGGATACATACAGCGCATTGCAAATACCCCAAGTCCCCATTAGTAGTGGTAGATGTAGCTGCCGCGAGGGAGAGTGTGGATAAGAAGAGGAGTTTGTGCATCTTGATGTAGTCGTATTCTTGGTGTCGAGTTGGTGGTGTTGGTCGTTGGTCGTTGAGATACTAGGTGAAGTTGTCGTGTCTCATACTCTCTCTATATATCTAAGACATTTTATTAAACACGGAGTATGGTTTTTATTATGTGGGTAGGTATAAGGGTGGCAACATCCCTTGAATTCCAGTCCTGAGGCAATGATATCGGGGAAAATCGTGTGTCGAATGATCGATGGAGTGGTGGAAGGTTTGGTCTGGAATGTGAGTTGGGTATGTATGAATGTATCATGTTGATTTTTTTTTTCTTTGCTACACGGTACGGGTGGGAGGGAGGTATGTTTCGAATAGTACTGGTGTTTGCTGGTTCGTGTTGTTTTTGTTCAGAACTCATTAATTTGTTTGATTTGATATTCGTGGAGGGTATTTGGGATGGAATTGGGGTTATCACTTGATTGGGGATGGTTGATAGTACTAGCAGCATGGCTAACCTGTTGGTTACGGTAGTAGATCAGTGTAGTCAACAAACCCAACAGCATCTTCCATACCCTTCTACAGATCAGCATCTGTTCGAATTAACTTTCTACTAACGCTTGACGGGGGCTGGTAGTGAAATTCTTATCACAATTTGGCTCTTGACTTCATCTACAAAATCCCTGCGAGTATCATGACATCAAGGAATGCAATCTACTTCAAACCATAGGTGTATAATCCAACTCATCCTACGAAATATGGCTATCAGTGGCACAACATCGAGTCAGGTTCACCACCATCCAAGCAATCCCCTTGACAACCATCGTCAGTCCGTGCACTACCACATTGAACCCCCAGAACAACACTCGCAAACATCCCCGTGTAATCCGCGGAAGCTCCTCGCCCTCCCGTGAGCCGCCCTGGTATCGTCCGTACTTGTCCATGTCGAACTCCTCTATTATGACTTTTTGGGTCTTCGGCTTCTTGGGCTCTCGTTTCCAAAAGTGGTACTCCCTTCGATCATCAGATTTGGGCTGAGATTTTACCTTGGACCACAGCTGGCTACCTTCCTTAGCATCTTCCTGCTCCGCTAGGGCAGTGATCATCTCCTCTCTAGAGTTTGAAAAGGGGGGTGTCGAAAGCCCCTGGTCATACAACTTGAGTCCCTCAAGAACAGGCCTTGTAGACTCATCAGACAACGCCACTGTCAGTAGCGCAGAAATGAGACAGTCAACAGCATACAACGACGGTATCGTCGCAACAATTGACCCCGTAGCTAGCGACAATGTCATAGTCCTCAGATCCAACGACGCCAAAGGCTCATCGGCATCTGTCAGCGGAAGCGTGGATGTGCGAGGCGTAGCCGCCATGGCACCCGTCTCAACGGCATTGGCTGGCAGAGGGGTAGTAATCAGAATGGTGGGTGGTTGGCTGCATCCCCCCTCCTTGGGCAGACTGGAAACTGTAATGTGTAGGACGCCTGAATATTTCGAGCGTACTGGCGACAGAGGAATGCCAGCAGCACCAACCAGCGCGGGAGGCTGCTGCTTGCACAGCGCGGGGTGGTGAAGCTCGTACACTCGCTTCGATTGGTTCCATAGCAATTTGCAGGATTCCTGAGCCGCTACTCGCTTGAGTGCTTCTACTTCTGCTTTGGTCGCCTCTAAGGGCGAGAGGCGGAGCTCTTCTGCCACCTCTGCGGCTTGGTCTATCGCTAAGATGGCGGCGAGGCGCGGGAAGAGGATTGAAACCAGGCCATCGCAGGGAGACTGGCGGCGAGATTTGTCTTCGAGCTTTAAGTTCATTACGGGGACGCTGCTGTCGTGCTTAGAGGGGTGTTTTCGGATGATCGATATGTCTTTTGCTGAAGTAGCTCGCAGTGTATAGAACGGTGATTTGGGGTCTCCGAAAGTAAGTGTATTAGCGTCGATCCTGTAGGGGTCAGATCTGCCATAGTAAATTTAGGGAATGTACATACCGATCAACACACAGATTAAAGGTCCCAGGCAGGCTTCGTGGACGTTGGCCGTTGGCAATTTCCCATAGACTCTGCAGCTCTTCCTGCGTAGAATATCTCTCCACTGGATCAAGCACACCGGCAGGAAAGTTCAGCACGCTGGCGGGAACTGTCCTGGGTCCAAGGGCGCGATCTATCTCCGGAGGTGGTGTCTCTGTCTCAGACCTGGATAGTTCCCAGTGTGAGTTGAATGAAGGCTCCGGGTAGTATTGCTGCTGGTTCGTCGGAAGGTCGTAGTTATATCGAGGGAATGTTGATTTCATTGGCACCACTGGAGCTGCCGCAGGTAAGCTGCTCTGGAGTGAAGCAGATCTGACCGAGTGTGAAGGAGAGCCAACTCTCTCTGCCGGTCGCTTGTGGCGGTCATGTAGGGATTTGGACGTCTCACGCTCTCGTATTGTGTCTGGAATGGATATTGGGTTCGACCTGGACATGGCCTTTGGCGGCGGTCTGATACTAGTATGGGTATCCTGAATAAGTTTGAAGATCACAGCTTCTGTAGGACTACTCTTGTCACGTATCTCCTCCATGGGTCGCATCTCTGTATGTGTCTTTATGGCTGGCTTTTTTGGTACTCTTGGCAATTCTTTCGAAGGTCTGCTATCCGAGGGTGATGGGAAGAGTTGGAACTGACTCATGGTGATGGACTTGCTCCTCAGTCTTGGTTAAATAGATAAAAGTGTCCTTGAAGCTAATTTCTATTATTTTATTTAATAAAGGAAATGAAATGTCAAAAGTGCTTCGAATGGCCTTGGAACAACGGTGGTAGTATACTACGTATATATAAGCTCACCTGTATAGACGCCCACCAACATCAAGCCCAGCTGGCAGGCACGGACCCCGATCTATCCAGAATAGTCAAAGCATAGTGCATCGACGGCGGCAAGGGTCCGAACAAGAGAGGCTGCAGTAGCGTGAAGAATATGCACCGTAGTGGGAGAAACTTGATTGCTTGGGTCGGCGCTTAGCCTCGACATCTCGCTGGATCGGACAGCGGGCACGATGTGGCTGGACTCAGCCCGGCGCTTCGGACCATGCCAAAGATCATGATTCGGTATAGGGAAGCGCTGAAGCTAATAAGCAGTAACTGTGACTGGTTTGTGGTCGCGGGGTACGGTGACGAAAGGTGATGGGCTCTACTTCTCTGTTTACTCGAAACATCACCTATCGGTGAAGCATAGTCGGTTACCGAAAAGGGCACAGCCCCGACGACATAGAGATAACAGGATGACTGACTCCCATAAACTCTCACAGCAGCTTGAGTAGAATTTGTTATGCTATGTCATTGGCCATATTTCACATGTCCTGGCACTCAACTAATATACATGGCACAGTCTATCATACAGTCTAATCGCTCATACTACATACCCTCGTCATGAACACGGAATGTCAGCCCCTCGGCCATAGCAATTGCTCCCTCCATGTTGCCTTTGTTGTACAAGAACAAGCCCTGTAAAGCAGCAGCGCTGGTGCTCTTCGTCCGATCAGCCTTCAAACCATTCTCATCCTCGATCAGCCCTAATTCTTGTAGCCGATCGAGGAAAACCTGTCGATTGGTGCCGCTCGGGTCAAGCTCTCCGTAGAACCGGTCCCAGAGGCAGCCGACTTGATAGCGAGTCACTTCGCCTAGACGCACCGTCATGTCCACGCGACCCGGTCGGACTAGCGCCTCGTCAAGCCGTTCAACGTGGTTGGTGGTGAGGAAAATAATCCGTTCCTCGGCGCTTGCAACGCCATCCAGAGCATTCAGAAGACCCGAGAATGTAACATTGGCTCCACGATAACCATCCTCGTCCGTTTGAGTCCGGCGATTCGAGAACGCAGCATCTACATCCTCGAGCAAAACCAGGGTTCGGTTCGGAACAATCGTCAGAAGGTGATTCAGCCGATCATCCGTCAGTCCCCGTTCGCTGAGGTTCAAGATGGCAATGTCGTAGTCCAATTCGCCCGCCAAGGCTTGGATGAACGAACTCTTACCCGTTCCCGGGGGCCCATAGAGGAGATAACCACGGCGGTAGGGGATACCTCGGTCGTGATACCATTTGCCACTGCCCACAAAGTCCTGCACATCCTCCACAATTCGCTCTTTGACTCCTTGGTCGAGAACCACCGACTCCAACGGACGCTTTCGCCGCGGCTGCCCAAAAAGCTTCCATTCGGTGCCCCAGCTGTTGTAGATGGATGTCTTGCCTTCGTGAGATTTGGCGGCATACGCATGCGCTTCAGTGAAGAGGTCCTCGAACACATGTCGATGCGAATAAAGCGTGGTCAGAGTGATGGTCTCCCACGGCCGGCCCGTGTGTAGGTCCTGAGACTTGGACTCTCGCATCCGATTGACGAAGATGAACGCGTTCTTGTAGCGCAGAACATGTCTTCCGGGTCCAGGCACCAGCGCGAAATGTGTATGTATCGCCCCATTGCTGTGCTCGACTTTCTGCGTTTGAATCGAGAGGTGGCGCATCCCGGGGGTCAGCCTCTGTAGTATGGACTCCATGAAACCAGACCTGCTGGCAGCGGAGCGGGCCGTATTAAGCTGCGATTGTTGGTATAGTGTCATCCAGTGAAGGAACCACGGGTAAGAGTCGTCCTTGATGCTGATTTCGACGTCGACAAGCATGCGCCGACGGAGGAGAGCGGCGCCATGGCGGAAGCCTTTTTGTGCGAGACTGACTCCGGCTCCCAGTCCGGCAAGACCAAATCCCTATGAGTAAAACTACCTGTTAGCGATTGGGTTTGGCAGCAGACATAGCTCCGACAGCTTGAGGAACTTACTGCGGTGAAGAAAGGATTGTTGGTTAGCTGGGAGAGAAGGCCTCCGTCGCCTGTAGGCTGCCCCGCTGCTTGGATGGCATCTTTCCGTTGCTGCGCAATCAGATCGCCAGGCGAAGGCAGCCCTGGAGTACTTGATGGTCCATTGGGGTCCATGCCAACAGAAGAACAATCATGCACCGCCACCTACAGTTGTCTGATTCCTTGAGCACATGTCCGCAATTGTTCCTGTCGGGGAGTCGGAGTTATGACGGGCCGAGATCGGTCGGGGTTTCACGGGCAATCGGAGATGGGGAAGTCCTCCCGTCACTGAGTGCTAAGACCTCTAAAAGGGATGGCCCTGGCTTCATTGTCTACGCATCCCAGTCCAATAATATCACACCTTGGATTATCGTACACTAGGCGTCAGTAGAGCTACGTAGTCTAAGCCCCTGATGTCTTCATGAAAGGCCACAACACAACCTATACGAGATAGGCAGAACATCGGCGATGTCATCACTCCGCCCCGGAGATAACGGGCTTTACACCGTCATCGCCGTTCCTCTTTTTTTATTCACCAAAAGGGGGACTGCGTTGAGCAAAGTCTCACATGGGCTAGAGTAGGTTGAGTTATCATATTTTTTGAGATATACGGGCGGGAGTACCCATTTTATCTTCATTGTTAAGGCAGCCGCCACCAACCTTCGTATAAAACCTTCCCCGCCCTCGATTCTTGAAGACAATGCGAGCATTCCTGCGAGGCGTCTTTTGCTTCCGACAGGGCAGCACTTCTGCACCTAGATTGTCATCCCCACAGAGACGCAACATGACCAAGGCTACTTCCGCAGCTTCAACGTCGGCAGCCCTCTACTCCCTAGCCGTTGTTCTCTCCCCGGCCTCTGAGGGGCCCGAGGATGTCAAGGAGAAAGCCCACCATCTAAAAAATGGCTTTCAAAACCCCTGGGAGTATGTCATTTGTAGCTATCGCAAAAAAATGATAGTATGTTGTTACTAATGTATTCCTGCAGCTCATGGCAATCTCCGACAGTGGGTAACGCTCTTCGCATGTGGGGGTAAGTTGCAAGTCTTCTCCTAGATGTTTAGTATACAATTCTGACATCTGCATTGAAGGGGAATCATAACGGGGAAAATCAAGTTCCCAGACGTCACGCCTCCTACAGTGCCTGTTCAGCAGCCCAAGTTTCTGCCTGATCGGGAAACAGCTGGTCTGCGGGCGACATGGCTTGGCCATGCTTGTTACTACGTCGAATTCCCCAATGGCCTACGAGTTCTGTTCGACCCGGTATTTGAGGACCGTTGCTCTCCGGTCTCCTTCATGGGCCCAAAGCGCTTCACTGAGATGCCATGCCACATCGAGGACATCCCAATTATCGATGCGGTTGTAATCTCCCACAACCATTACGATCATCTCTCTCATCCAACTGTCATGGAAATCTCGCGACGCCATCCCAATTGTCACTTCTTTGCACCCCTTGGCAATAAAGCATGGTTCAGCAGCATTGGGATAGACAAAATGACTGAGCTCGATTGGTGGGACGAGCGAGACATTGTTCTTTCACCCTCGCATGAATCAGTCACCGAGGCCGGTGCCGGTGAGGGCCAGAGTTCAAACCAGTCTAACATCACAGCTCGCATCAGCTGCTTGCCTTCGCAGCACACAAGCAATCGGGGTGTGTTTGATCGATCAAAGACCCTGTGGGCGTCGTGGGGCATTGAAGCTGGAGGTCGGAAGCTGTGGTTTGCAGGGTATGTATAACTGCCGAGGAGATGCCTTTAATTATCTAACTAAGATTGTCATATAGAGACACAGGATATCGGAATGTGCCAATGCTTCCTGCCGGTACCGATGATCATGCTCCGGAGTACGATTTCCCCTCATGTCCCGCATTTAAACAAATTGGTCAATTCCGGGGGCCTTTTGACCTCGGATTGATCCCGATTGGCGCCTACTCACCCAGATGGTTCATGAGCCCTATGCATGCGGACCCTGATGATGCAGTGCAAATTTTCCGGGATACCAAATGCAAAAGAGCCATGGCTATTCATTGGGGAACTTGGGTCTTGACAGATGAAGATGTCCTTGAGCCACCAAAGAAATTGAAGGAGGCGCTCACCAAGTATAGCTATCCAGAGGTCGGGGCATTTGACGTTTGTGACATCGGCGAAAGTCGGGAATTCTAATGGTCATGTGCGCCTGGGAAAGTTTGGGGTACTTAATATACTTACTTTAATATTGCTGTACGATAGCTGCATGTTGATCATTGTGCGTGCACCCGGATAGACGCTCACAACTCTATAATCCATACAAATCTTTCTTCCCCTCACCGTCTTTTTTTATACATGTGATAAGTCTCTAGATCAACCCTCCGAAATAGTCAATGCTCCTATCGAGTGCAAGGCTTCAAAAAGAGGCTCTGACCCATGTGATGGCACGGGCCTATTTACGGAGCGTGCCAGTGAATGACCCTGCACCAACAACGCGTTCAAGGTGCATACGGCGTTTCCCTTATTCCATTACTAGACCAGGCAAACAAATATGATCGTACCCCCAGACCAGATGACCAATTGCAGCTGTTCTTTAAAAAGCTACTGGAGGCAATGACCCGTTTAGCAGTAAAGGTGACATGGGAATGATCCGCTTCCACAAAACTGAATTGACGTCAATAGGAGCCATATTCGTCTCAATTTTGCTGAATGACTCAAAGTTTCATCAGCTCGGTCGCCTCTATCTATCTCACTGAATTCATCTATCACGTACATATATTTTTGGCCCCATCTCACCAACTGCTCAGCCTCTCACTTCCCCGACCAAAACCCCATCCCCAGCGCGTGCTCTCACCACGTCAGCAAACAACTTAGACCACCATGGCTACCATAATGCAGCAAAGCCCACAAGATGCCAGCTATTTCTGGCGAAGCAGTTCAGACACCTGGACGAGCAATCACGTATGGGAACCACAAGAGCGCAGACGATCCATGGACGACGAAGAGGAAGTACTCTACGAACTCGACGAAGTCGCCCTAGCACAACTACCACTGCATCTCCAACACAACATGCGTCAAATACAGCTGGAACGAATACGCAAACTACTGCACGACCGGGATCCGAATTCCGGGGTTGACCCCAGACCTGTACACCCTAATCCCTACGCGCAAACCTGGTTCAAAAACATGATGGCTCGACTCTCAGCAGACCAAGAGATGAATGAAGTCCACGAATGGCGCCAGTCGGTACAGCTTGACGGCGAACCAGACGACACTACCTGGCCTCTGGTTCCACGACAGTGGACTGGCAACAGACAGCACTATGATCGGAGAACCTGGCACTTTGATCATGCGACTTCGGGTGAAAATAGTTTCAACGCTTATTCGACAGGCAGCACACGTGTATGCAGTCTGCATGGACTGGGGGTCAATGAGTTTGGATTCCGCCTATCCGAGTCTGGTTCACATGGTAGCAGAGACCAGAAGCAGGAGGTCGGAAAGGTCTCTTCGAAGCCTCGGAAGAGGAATTTGTCTCTTATTACGCATATGCGGGCTCATGTGCGTTTTCGGGTACGCAAGAGTGTTCAGAAGCTAAGCAAGCTCCTGAAGAAGTGATCTGGTTATTCAACGTCGGGTTTGTGTCGTTGAATCATTTGAACATTTGGGGAAACGAGTAAAAAGTTTGGGGTTGTTTTTCCTAGGAGTTTGGCGATACGGTGCAAAGGGAATACCTGGATAGCGGGCGTTATAAAGCATCTGTGCAAGATGAGCTTTTTTTTATTTTTTGAATGATATGAATTACTCTTTAAGACCCAAAGGAAGAGAGGGCGCGAACTATTCGATTCCATGGCATGCGATGATGCTCTCTGTAGATAGATCAGGGGGAAAAGGATAGCACTAGACCCAAAGCAGAATGGTGGCGGTGAGCTCTTCTTGTCCGCAATCCCACTTCGAAAGGTGCGCTGGAAATTTGATGGGGACGGCGGGCAACAAAACAACTCCAGTTCCCCTCCACAAGCAAAAAGGCCCCTATCTTTGACCGCTTGTCGATCGGCTCCGGAGTTTACTCCATCTTTTCCTAGGGACCGTTTGAATTTCTCTCTTCCTTTTCCGACGCAAGTCAACAAACCACCGCCATCATGCAAGCACCGGTGGTGGTGATGAGTATGTCCCAATCGAGGGGAACTGCCCGGAACCTGGCTTCTGATTGCTAACATGGTTCTTTAGACACCAATGCTGGTGAGAGACAGGTTGGTCGTAAAGCCCAGCTGTCTAATATCGCTGCTGCGAAGACGTACGTGATTGATCCCCTCCCACTCTTCCCCGCTTCCGGCACTTCTGACACGGGGCCTGGCATTACAGTGTCGCGGATATTATCCGGTCATGTCTGGGACCTAAGGCTATGCTGAAGATGCTTCTCGACCCCATGGGCGGTATTGTTTTGACGAACGATGGACACGCTATCTTGAGAGAAATCGAGGTGTCGCACCCCGCTGCGAAGAGCATGATCGAGTTGAGTCGGACCCAGGACGAGGAAGTTGGTGATGGAACAACGACTGTTATTATTCTGGGTATGTGCTGGCTGAATCGTGCTTATCGCATGATGGACCTGATATTTCATGGGATGACTCGCTAACCTGTACTAGCTGGTGAGATGCTCGCTCAGGCCCTCCCCCAGCTCGAACGTAACATTCACCCCGTTGTCATCATCTCGGCTTTCAAGCGTGCTCTGGCCGACGCCCTTGCCATTGTGGAGGAAGTTTCGATACCCGTTGATATTGATGATGACAAGGCTATGTACACCCTCATTCAGTCGTCTATCGGCACGAAGTTCGTTTCCCGGTGGTCGGAGCTCATGTGCAGCCTTGCTCTGAAGGCTGTCCGGACCGTGTCTTTCGATGCTGGTGGTGGAAAGCGGGAGGTCGACATCAAGCGGTACGCTCGTGTTGAGAAGATTCCCGGTGGTCAGATTGAGGACAGTGAGGTTATCGACGGTGTCATGGTCAACAAGGACATCACCCACCCCAAGATGCGGAGGAGGATAGAGAACCCCCGTGTTCTGCTGCTCGACTGCCCGTTGGAATACAAGAAGGGTGAATCGCAGACGAACATCGAGATTACCAAAGAGGACGACTGGAACCGTATCCTGCAGATTGAAGAGGAACAGGTTAAGGCCATGTGCGATGCTATCATCGCCCTCAAGCCTGACGTTGTCATTACGGAGAAGGGTGTTTCAGGTATGGATCCAACTTCTATTTGCAGGCATTCGACTTGCTAACACTTCCCAGACCTTGCCCAGCACTACCTGGTGAAGGCCAACATCACCGCCCTCCGCCGTGTGAGAAAGACCGATAACAACCGTATCGCCAGAGCCACGGGTGCGACCATCGTAAACCGTGTCGACGACCTCCAGGAGTCCGACGTTGGAACTCAGTGCGGACTTTTCGAGATCGAGAAGATTGGCGACGAGTACTTCACCTTCCTCAGAAAGTGCCAGAACCCCAAGGCTTGCACTATCCTTCTCCGCGGCCCCTCCAAGGACATCATCAACGAGATCGAGCGGAACCTCCAGGACGCCATGGCCGTCGCCCGGAACGTCATTTTCCACCCCCGTCTGTCCCCCGGTGGTGGTGCCATTGAGATGGCCGTGTCTGTCAGATTGAGCCAGTTGGCCAAGTCCATTGAGGGTGTCCAGCAATGGCCCTACAAGGCTGTTGCCGATGCCATGGAGGTTATCCCCAGAACATTGGCACAGAACGCCGGTGCCAGCCCTATCCGTGTCCTCACCCGCATGAGGGCCAAGCACGTTGAGGGCCAGACCACATGGGGTCTGGACGGTGACTCCGGTGCCTTGGTGGACATGAAGGAGTATGGCGTCTGGGAGCCCGAGGCGGTTAAGCTTCAGAGCATCAAGACCGCTGTCGAGGTGAGCACAAGTACATCCTACTCTATATCGACTCAAACTGACTGTCTCTCTAGTCCGCATGCTTGCTCCTCCGTGTCGACGATATCTGCAGTGGCAAGTCTGCTCAGCAGGCCGGTGCCGGTCTCGGTGTCGGTGGTGGAGATGATTAAATCAATTAAGACGAACCGAAATAAAACTGCGTACATAATGCTGCACGATTACCATTTGGACTTCTTGTATGAATATCCTAGACCAAAAATTACAATGGGTATCTTCATATTGTACAATCCCTAGCTTCCGTAGGCCCCGGTTCCTTCGTAGCCCGTATATACTACACCCCCCTTCTCCATTCAGTCATCATGAATAATCACCCCGGGCACCTCAGCAACCTCCTCAGGACCATTTTCATCCCCATTCTCAATTCGGTCCTTTTTATCCCCATCAGCACCACCCCCGACCTTCTTTCCCGTCTCATCAACAGCCATCTTAAAACCCCCATTCGAAGCACCACCCCCACTACCCCCCTTCTTCCCCTTCTTCGCATTCCTTTTCTCCCTCTTCTTCCGATTCTTCTCCGTTTTCTCTTCATCCTTCCTCCGCGCTTCCTCCCGCTTCTGCTCCCACTCCTTATCCTCCTTCTCCTTATCAACCTCGCTCTGCATCAGTCGCTGCCGCTCGTACTCCCTCCGCCGACTCGCCTTGTAGACATGGAACTCGCCCGACCCCGCACCAGCAGAGGAACCCTGGACGTTGGCGACAATCTCCGGCGGCGGCGGTAGCGATGTCGAGGTTCGTTGCTTGGAGGGGTCCGGAAGCTTAATTTCTTTTGTGGGGTCGCGGAAAAGAGATTCGATTTGCGTGGCGTGTTCGTCGAGTGCTGTCACGGCGCGACGTTTGGTGGGACGTTTGCTGCGCGGGTCTGCGCTGGTAGGGATTGATTCGGGGCCTGGTTCGGACATTTTGGATGCGGTTATTTGTATATATTGATGTAAGAGTGGGAGGGTAAATTGGCTGCGCTTGTCTAGAAGAGATTGATGAGCCTCTTGGTCTAGAGAGGAGGCTGATGTGAGAGTGTTTAGTAGTTTTGTATAAGTAGGTGCAGAATGAGGAGCCAGTAGTAGTCTAGCTCGAGAATAGTAATTGCCGGGGTGAAACCTGGGCGGTGAGACGCGCCGTTGGGGTTGCTCTTATCGATCGATTGGCCGGGATTGGATCGCGGGCTGGTTCCATCAGCATGAACGCCGATTACTTTCCCAGTCGGGAACTCAGATGTATACAACTTGGACATGTGAGGAGGAGCCTGTCGGATCGCCAGCTTTGGTCATAAATACATTCTATCGCTCCGAGGACTTGAATATAATATCCAAGTGGCTATTGTTTCTCGATTTGTTTAATTTTTCATCAAGTTGAAGTACTTATAGTTCTATCGGCCTCTGCATCAGGCCGTGGCACATGACAAACCCTGGCTGTGCTTTTTCCCAGTATTGTTATCATCCTCCGGGATCTCCCACCTTCCCCTCAGACATCCTTTTCTTTCCTTTGGCTCGTATTGCGTGCTCTAGTTGATATCCATCGTATATTTACTTGTATGAGTATGTGCCTTCAAACCTCGCTTGGAGCTGCGTACTTCTCCATCATATCTCACTTGCTACCTTCTACCCCGCCAGCATGAATACGAGTGGCGTCCCCAACGCCCCGAATCCGGGGACTTCACGTACTTTCCAGGTCAGCAATGAGTGGGCTACGAAGACTTCATTATCAGCCCAGACTTCCTAATGATTCATAGTTCGATCTCAACGATGTTTGTTGTTTGAAATCAAATCCATCTTTAACGGGTATTGTTGTAGTATGGCTCCCGTTGATAGTATTGCAGCATGTGGGTCTTACTTTGCTAATATAAAAGCACAGAGGACATATCTCGATGTATGTGTCTTCTACGGCCGATAACTTCAATATAAGAATGGCTTAAATAGACTGACACGGCATGCCCAAGGTGTATCCGTTGGGACCACCGGAAGATGATTTAATGGTCTCATATACATCAGTGCCACAAGATGTCCTGACTGAGTACTTACAAACCGGTGTGGTAGGTCCTCAGGTATCATTAACCAGAAACCATGTCCACTAAACCCATCTTCTGTTATAGCCACGCAAAGGATATGTCATTGTTCAGTTCAAATGGGTTTCGCAAGGGTGTTCTCTCATCCACGAGGATGATCTCGAACTTCTCGACCGGTGCATCAACTTCGGTAGCTATGTCAAGAGACCGGACGACACAATGTGTGGCACGGTCATCGGTGCATCCGCTACGTGCACACTCGAGCCGATTGCGTATCGTAACTATGACGAGTCGTTGGGCGAATATGGCTCCGTCGAGTTCAACGAACGGCTCATGCCTCGCAGCCGCAGAAGACCCGGGACCGATTCTTCGCGTCCTTTGCCAGTACATGATGTGCCTTTGTCTGAGCTCATGCATCATGAGCCGTTTATCAACGATGACTTGATCATTTACCATCAGAAACTGGGAATCATTCGGCAGGTCGACCGGGATGCTATTTTGCGTGTTTCCAACGTGCCTGTCTCGCTTGTTGATCCCAAGGACCTTGAAGTTCCCTGTCATTTCGATGACAATGAGCTCATATGGATGCCCAAGGGCCAGCCATGTAGAGTTGTGGACACTAACTTGCGATACATGGAGCATGACTCCGTGATTCCAGGTCAGTATGTGTGTACGAAATACAAGAATATGCGCGGAATAAACGGGGGTACAGTTCCGAAGGAAGATCCCCGTTCCTTTGCCCACGGCCACGTCCTGTCCACGCCAGCTACGGAGTATAAGGTTGAATGGCTTTGTACGAATGTATTCGGTCTCGGAACATGTGAGATCCCGAATGGAATAGAGACTCTCAGGGCATCGGTCTTGGAACGCGATGCTGTGATATGCGACTTCGAGAACTCGACTGGGGGAACAGTGAAATCGGCCACCTCACTTCAAATCGGTGATATGATACGTTTTCGAGATCCGAAAAGCTCCTCTCAAAAATACTCTTACCAACATATTCCTCCTGAAGAGACTTTTGGATATGATATGAACATGTTTCATATTACGTCAAGAAAGACAGCACTGACCGTCAGATGGTTGGACGGGAGTGTCACCACCGAAGATTTAAAATGCCTTCGTTGGGACCCCGGGCTTGATGAAAATATATGGCCCGGGAGCATCGTCGTTCTGAAGGATGGGATTGAGACCATGCATTGGCCCGGCTTGGAAACCACATCTGCATATATCCGGCAACTGCCTAGTCATAGGAGACACAGGGAATCAAAAATCCGAGCAAGAGCAGTAGGTGTGGTCCAAGCTGTTAACATTCGCGAGCGAATAGTTACTGTCCGATGGTATAAGGATCCTTATCTTATACTCTTGCATGGCGGGCAGATCCTAGCTTCTCTCTACTCTAAGCTGGGCGAGCTGGGTGATACAATCAGCCAAGTATCTCTGTATGAGCTCGACGTGTTTCCTTGTCTGGAAAGATCACATGGTGATATTGTACTTCTCGCCCCAGACACCATCCATACCTCGGTCTTGACGGAAGGGTCACTGAGTGCATACAACGTCGCTGGTCCTTGCACATTTAGTTATACATCGTCATTGTCACTTTCGCAGATGCACTCATACCTCAAGGATATGAGTCTCGCCATGTTTCATTGGGAATGGTTCAAAAGCACGACTACGGTTGACACCTCACCTCTTCCTCCGAGACATAGTCACCACTATCAGCGTAAGCTCAGTGAAAGATCCACTGCAGACTTCGTCGGCCAGATCATTGCGATTGATGTTAATGGTGAGATTACTGTTCGGCTAGCTGGTACTTGTCGCGACGTCCGCGTTCCGTTTGAAAGGATCATGATGGTCATGGATGGAGGCTTCACCACTCCACTTGGGGTTCCAGCTCCAGGTGATCTATCGACCATGTCTATGAACTCAGCTTATACATATAAAGAAGAGGGTCCAGGAGTTGGTGATGAGGAGGGGCTTTTACATTTTGATGATGAAGAAGGGTTCTCGAGTGATGATGATGAGGATATGTCGGAGACGACGCTCCGAGAAGCCCTCCGCCGATATGTCAATGGTGAGGATGGTATTCTACTTGAAGAAGAAGAATGGATTTCAGGTAATGACGGGGAGGAAGAGGAGGAAGGCATCTCAGGTAGTGATGTTGAAGATATGTCGGAGATCAAATGCGCTGTATATCGATATGTCAATTCTAGTTCTGCAGATGACGGCTATTCCGAAGATGCAGACATGAAGACAGAGAATGACTCCGACTTTGACATGAGAGATGCTTCGGATGGAGTAGTTGAACAGAGTGAGGAAATGACATTACCTCCAGGGTTCCTCATATTGGAAGGCCCCCCTCCCTCCGATCATCATTTTATCTCGAAGGATGGTGCAGGGGGCTCGGCCTTACGAATCAAGCGTATCCAAAAGGAGTGCGACATACTCGATGAATCACTCCCTCCAGGGATCTTTGTGCGAGCATGGGAGTCGAGGATGGACCTGCTCAGGGTTTTGTTCATTGGGCCGGAGGGGACCCCTTACCAATATGCGCCGATCCTGATAGACTTCCATTTCCCAGAAGACTTTCCTAGAAAACCACCTGAGGCATTCTTTCACTCGTGGATCGGCGGCCAAGGAAGGATCAATCCGAACCTCTACGAAGATGGTAAGATCTGTCTGAGCATTCTAGGAACATGGCCCACTCAGAACCCGGATGAAATGTGGTCAGCAACCAAGTCCACTATTTTACAGGTTCTGGTCTCGATTATGGGGTTGGTTCTTGTGCAAAGCCCCTTCTACAGTAAGTCAATATCCTGAGCTATGTGTACAACTCAATATCACAGACTAATCGTGCACCAGATGAGGCCGGGTATGAAGTTTTTGCTGCGGAGGGCGGTAGACGAGTCGAGTCAGACAAGTATACAGAAAAGACATTCTTGACTACTCGCAGATATATCAAGTATGCCCTAGATCATCAAGTAAGTGGCATGGAGGACATTGTGGCTTGGAACTATTTGCCTAGTCGCTTGAATTCAGAAGACTGCAGCAGGCCACTCCTGCTCCGTCGCGCTATCGATACGGCATTGGCGATGATAGAGCATGAGGGGCATACCAGCAGTGGAGAAGAGCGCAGTGCCTCGGCGTTTGTCTCGCGTCTTAGCCTGGGAGCTGTGGTCATGCTGCGAAAGTATATCACGGAGCTTGAGGCTTTGGAGGTAGATGCGACTGCCAAACAATAGCCTCGACGTTGGAGAGTTATGCTGCAGACAGCCATAATGCTACTATCCTGTTGTTGATGGTTCAACAAAGGCCTTTGTCTTTATTATCCATCATGTCTATGATGCTTTAGTTCATGTTTGCGGAATCTTTGAGGAGTGTATGGTTGGAAAGCGTTCTAATAGTTGGGTTAAGTTCATTAAGATCTATGCTACAAATATGCACTACTTAATAAGCTTTAGAGGGAGTTGAGGTCAGGTATCTCTTAGCATTTGGGGTTCAGTATAACGGTATCCTTGACTGGAACTCTGCTAGTAGGACTGAACTATAGCTAGTATTTATCCACAAATCAGGCGCTCAAACGACCGTCACGGCATCAGCCTAACAAGAATACAAAAAAGTGTTGACTGATGAGTTTTATATTCTTCAAATGGATTATTAATTAGTATCAATCAAGAAGCGGACAATACATAAAATGGAGAAGACAAGCAGAAGTAAACACAGTAAGTAGGAGAAAGCCAAAGCAGCACTGCGGCATTGGTCTTTGGCGTGTTCCGTTGGCAGCAGCGCCAGACCTTCGCTCTTCTTGCGCTCTTCTCTGTTCCTCCCTCCCTCTTCTTTCTCCCCTCGCTTTTCTCTATTTATCCCCATTTATCTCCCATCTTCCCCTTCTCCTCATTTACATCTTTTCCTGTGTTGTCTCTTCTCTGTTGTGTCGGTGAAATCCTTAGGTTATAAATACACCCTTCGACCCCGGGCGCGATCGCAACCCATAAATCTTGGTTCCCTCTCAGCACGCAAACTTAACTTTCCCGCACGCAGTATCACCAGCCTTCTTTGCCCCCCCGTGGTGCTTTTAAAATATGGGTGCCTATCGTCTCGGTAAGTTATATTTTCGTTCACTGCTCTCTTTGCATCTATTAAAGATGAGTTCCTCGCTGCCTCGCTTCTGATAGTTGGCTTCACTGTTTACTTTTCCTCATGGCTTTGTTGTCAACTTGCTTTACTGGGATGGGATGGCTGCGTTTGTTGTCCAACGGTGACTGCCAACTGTCACTATCAGCCAAGTCATGAACAGTTTTGTTTTGCTTTTTTTCCAAACATTCTATTTGGACCTGAATAGCATTTTTCCACTGAGACTACACATCTCGCTCAAAATCTAACTATCTACACAGAGCAAGCCTCAACCGGCCGCGCTGGTTGCAAAAACACGGAATGTAAAAACCAGGGCATCAAAATCCTCAAGGGCGAGTTGCGCCATGGCTCTTGGGTTGATACCGAACGCTTTCAGAGCTACTTCTGGCGTCACTGGTAAGTCTTGTAAATGCTAGCTACGAAAGAAAGAAGCGCCTCACTAATGCTTTTTACAGGGGCTGCGTCACCCCCAAGATCATTGCTAATATGGTCGAAACGGTTGGTGAAGAGGGCGAGAGAGACTGGTCGGCCTTGGATGGCTACGACGAGCTCCCTGAGGATCTGCAGGAGAAGGTTCGCAGGGCGATAGAGCAGGGCCACGTCGATGATGAGGACTGGAAGGGGGTAAGTTCATTGACTGCATTTCTTATATCTCATCATTATTGCACTTGATATCATCTTTTCTATTTGTGAAGGTCTGACTTGTGTCCCAGGATGTCGAACTCAATCGGCCTGGAAAGACGGGATTCCGGAAGCGTGTGACTAAGAAGGATAATGTATGTCCTTCTGTTCAAAGAATACTGCTTTATCGATGCTAACCTGCCCAGGACGAAACCGCGGAAGAATCCACTCCCAAGAAGGCCACTCCTCAGAGTAAGAAGCGCGCTCGCGCTGAGCCCAAGGAGGAGTCCGGCTCTGAAGCTGAGGCAGAGGACACCAAGGAGAAGCCCAAGACTAAGAAGGCCACTCCCCAGACCAAGAAGCGTGCTCGTGCTGAGCCTAAGAAGGAAGTCGAGTCTGACGCTGAAGAAGAAGCTACTAAAGAGACGCCCAAGACCAAGAAGGCTACTCCCCAGACCAAGAAGCGTACTAAAGCTGGAGCCGAAGCCGACGCTGATGAAGCTAAAGAAACGCCCAAGACCAAGAAACCTCGTAAGAATAGTGCTGCCTCCAAGCAAGCACCTGTCGAAGATGGCGAGTCCGATGCTCCTCTTGTCGAAACGAACAAGAAGCCAGCCGCCACCAAGGGCAAACGTGGCAAAGCTGCTGCTGCTCCTGCCGCTGAGGAGCCCGCCGCTACTCGTCCCACCAGGGGCAGGCCCGCGACAAAGAAGAAGCAAGCCCCCGTTGCTGACGATGAGGGTGAAGCTGAGCCTGAGCCGGCCGAGAAGCCAAAGCGGACATATAAGAAGAGAAAGTCTACCTGAAGAATTGGTGTCGTCTCTAAATTGAGGTGTTAGTGCGCTTGTCATGTAAAGGAAGATATGAAAGGGGTGCTTTATCTCGGTTTATTCTATCATTTACCTTTCTTTCATATGTCGTGTCTTTTAATTGTTATTTTTACTTCTGTCATGTGCTACCTGTGACTTTGATATCGGCGTCCATATTGTGCATTTTAACACTGTCACTACATTAAGACTGTCCTATGTTGTTGCTGGCGTGAGCGTGACTATTCTCTGTGTACATGCATGCTGTGCTGGCTTCTCAGTCTCATATTTCTATTGTCATGTATCTTGTCCAGCGGTTCTTGTATCCAATCAGTCATGTCATGGCCATATTATGCGTTGATAGGCTGTAATATTACTACTATTGCTGGTGCAGACATTATTTCCTTATTTACCTATTACTGCAGTAAGTCAGAACATATGATTTCTGAATTGTATGGAAGTAGTAATCACAAATATACTCAGAAAAATCTACTGTCTTTAAATCCCAAGCCCCGGAGATGAAATGAGCCAGTTTAATTTCATCTGTATACAACAACTTAATCCCCGGAGGGCTAAGCCACGCAGCATCATGGGCCTCCAACCAAGTAACATACTGTCCAGAACATCATCTACTGCATACACACCATCCAAACAATCACAACCACCAATCCTCACCAAACATTTATTTTATACCTTCTTCCCTGACAATCCACAAAACGACCCGCACCACATTACCAGAACAGGTAACTCGTGGCCTCTCACATAAAAATACCTCCTCTCCCTCTCCCTCCCTCTCCCACTCACTGACTATTTTATTTCACCCTCTTCTTTCCTATTGTAGTCCCCTATATCATCTTACACATACACATACACATCCACCCCTATCCCCACAGACTCAATCACCATCTCGTGTCTCCACACAAGCAGTATGACAGGGTGATCTTCACGCATCATCTCGCGGAGCTATTTGTGCTAAGTCTGCTGGGTAGGATGTCTGATTAAGCACGGGATCATGTGCGGTGTGTGCGGCTTCGGCGGAGAGAGATGGTTTTGGCGGGGAGAGCGCCTGCGATGAGGGAGCGGTTGGTATGGATGCAGCTGTGTGCGAGGATTGCGGAGTTGATGGGGGGGCTTAGGTAGGTGGTGGTTTGTTGTTGTCCTGGGAAGGGGTGAGGTGTGATGAGGAGGTGGTGGTGGGGATGGAGAGGATGGGGAGGGGGGAGGGATGGGTTGATGGAGGAGGATTATAGGAGGGTTACTACTAAGTAGTACTGTGTTTGATTTGGTGATAGAAGCAAATAGTAAGTCATGTTATTTTGTGTTTTGGGGTGTTTCTAGCTGGGTATATGTATGACGGGTTAGATGTTTCCTCCTCGCTCCTGGAGGAACTTGTAGTATTTCGGAGCACATTTCCTCCGCCATTTCTTGCCCCACACGTAGACGGCCATTCCGGCTGCTAGTGAGATGATCACGCAGATTCCGTAGAAGAGGAAGAGCCAGCCGGGGCCGGTGGCTTCGTAGAACGGTTGTGTGGTCTCGGAGATGATGAAGTTGATGATGGAGCTGCAGATGGCGAGAATCACGACAATTTCACCCCCAACTCCGGGGAAACATTCCATGGCATAAGCGGTTGCCTGTAGAAGTGGTTAGTTTTGATATATAAAAGGGTCGATTAACGTACTGTTGATGTTGCAGCAACCTGCTGAGCAATCATCGCTCCAATTCCCACCGTAATTGTCATCCAGTGGGCACCCTCCTGCGCTCCCCAGCCGTAAAGCTCATATCCTACTGCCGAATAGATGAAGCAAGGCGTCAGAGCCCAGAGACGCATCTCAGGCTCCTTGACACCGTCATTGCGACGAGCGAGGTAAATGACGATCTTATCACCCATTACACTAGTGAGGTAGCCAATAATACTGCCCACCAGAGCAGACAGATATGCAAGGCCAGTCTGACCATCAGTGAAGTTATACGGCGCGCCAGTGAGAATCTCGGAGATGGTCTTGTTGGTAACGATGCCAGAGGTGCAGCCAAAGGCGAAGATGATACCAGCCTGGACGATATGTTAGCTTCTGTTTGCAGGCATTTGTATGTGGGTCGAGGGATAGTACAATAATGATGTTAGGGAAAGCCAGCAGGAAGAATGGCCGCTTGAAGTAAGACCAATATGTGGTTTTATCCTGTGGGTAATATACCCAAAGTCGCAATTTCTCTTTGAACGTCCGTTTGGGAAATTCAGACGGCGCTGGAATGGTGTCACTGGCTGATCCCTCGTTCACACTCGCATTATCGACCGTGGCAGGATCCTTTTTGTCCAGAGAGGCTGTTTCGGTCGCATCAATCGGGTTCTTTAGCTTGGCCTCGGTTGTAGGCAAGCTCTGCGCAGGGTTGAATAGGAACCGGGGAAACAACGTCTCCTCATACGTGAAGAAGAAGATAATGATCAAAATTCCTTCTCCAATGGAGACCACCCACTGAGCCCAGCGCCAGCCCGGTCCGTCAGCAATGTATCCTCCTGAGACCAGTCCAATGATTGAGCCTAGCTGCTGAGCAAAGATGTAGAAACCCAGCATGCGACCGCGCTGATGGTCAAAGAAGAGGTCGAATACTGCGAGCTGGATGACAGCTTCATAGGCGGATGTACCGAGACCATTGACGATGTTGCATCCATACCATTCACCCGCAGTATGAAAAGCACCCATCCAGATGGAAGAGCCAATGCAAAGGAGTAAGGTTGCGAGGAAACAAAAGCGACGACCGATCTTCATAGCCGCTGGGATCCAGAAGATGTTCACCAGACCGAGCATGAGATAGTTCAGTGCTCCACCACCGTTCATGATGGTCATGGTGGACCCAGTCATGTCCACGATTGTCGAGTAAGCATCACCGGTGTTGTTCTCAGCAAAGGAAAAGATACAGGCATATGCTGAGACAAGGAGAAGGTGCCAGTATTTCTTGAAATCGGACCAGTTGAGAGGATCGCCCTCACAGGCCGTGGGAGGTGGCAACAGAATGATGTCGGAGCTGTCATGGGGGACGTTCTGATCGTTTCGAACATCAATCAGCAGCTCAGTGCCGGGGACGTCAAGGTCCCTATCTTTGAATATAGGCATGGTTATGGCAGCACCGGAGAAAGACTTGAAGCTCTGTGGAATGGCAAGTCTTCATCCCGACGGCTGCCTCTCCCTTTATAGGAGGAGGGGAATGCATTAGAGGCATTGCAACGGTTTGCGACTATCACGATCCGGGGTTCGATAAGCTTCGGATGATATTAGCCAATGTTACCCCAGGTTTGTAGCGATATCGCTATCGGGATAATTATCAAAGTGTGGAGGCAAAAGTAGAGGGCAGACAGGACGGGCGGCAGGTCCAAGCGAAGCAGGAAAGTTGGAGGATGGAGCTTAGTCGGACGCTAATCGGCTGCTAAACATCGCGACGCTCATGCTTGACTCACGCCATTGTACCATGTCGCTATCAACTCCCAATGTGATTTGCTTACGCCTCGACCTTCCATTGCCTTGTGGCCAGGGTCGATATGAGATTAGCCGTCGATGGCAACTTGATAAGCTTGGCCTTCCCCTCCCATCTGCATCATTGCATTAGCAAACCGAAATCCCCCGTGGCCACACAATGCGCGCCGATCACTCTCCAGAACATCCATCACTCTCCATTCTCATTCGCATTAACTCCGCTTCCCCGATAGACGTACCCATGCTTCAAGCTCCCATTCTTATCATCGGTGCAGGCACTTGGGGAGCGTCCACCGCCCTTCATCTAGCCCGACGGGGTTATACCAATGTCACTGTCTTAGATGCGTATCGTCAGCCATCCGCCATTTCGGCGGGCAATGACGTGAACAAGATAGTCTCCTTCAGTGAGTGTGGAATGCCCGTGTACCTGGGATGTAGCTAACCGAAGCGAAGCGGACCCTCCCGCCGAGGATGACCCCAACTTCGTGAACAAGACCTTTTTTGCCGCACTTACTAGGGGCTTTCAGCACGACCTGGTGTTCAAGCCACATTTTCACAATGTTGGGAACATCACTTCAGCTTTCTCCCCGGGCGGTCTCAAGCATATTGGACGGCGCGACCGCGGGGGCGACATAGTGGAGCTCAATGACCCGGAGGACTTCCGGAAGGCATTTCCCTCGGGTATTTTGACGGGTCCCCTGCCAGGTTGGAAAGGATATTGGAAGAAGACAGGCGCTGGGTGGGTGCATGCTCGGAATGCACTCGTATCAGCCATCACCGAAGCCAAAAGGCTTGGAGTCACCTTCATTGGAGGCGACCCCGAGGGAAGAGTTGTCCGTTTACTATTTTCGTCCGACACTGAACCCCGGGATATAGTAGGGGCTGAAACAGCAGATGGGAAGCAACACTTTGCTTCCAAGGTCATTCTAGCTGCTGGTGCAAATGCGGACCAGTTTCTTGATTTCAAGAAACAACTTCGGCCAACCGCCTGGACCCTTGCTCATATTCGCATGTCACCAGAGGAAGCCAAGGCATATCGCAACCTACCGGTCCTCTTCAATGCCGATCAGGGCTTCTTCATAGAACCAGATGAAGAAAAGCACGAGCTCAAGATCTGTGACGAACATCCAGGATACTGTAACTGGATTGTTGGCCCAGATGGCGAACGACGAAGCGTTCCCTTTGCACGTCATCAGATCCCCGTTGAGTCAGCTGAGCGAATCCGCGGTCTCCTGAGAGCAACGATGCCCCAGTTGGCGGAGAGACCTTTCTCATTCGCCCGGATATGTTGGTGCGCCGACACGGTCGACCGAAACTTCCTTATAGATTATCATCCTGATCATCCATCCTTACTGCTTGCAGTTGGGGCATCCGGTCGCGGATTCGCCCATATTCCCTCGATCGGTGGTTTTATTGCTGACCGGCTCGAAGGGAAGATGGACCCGAGGGTTGCAGCTGCGGTTCGTTGGAGACCTGAACAAGCTGTGAATCGGGATTGGGATGATACGCAAAACAGGTTTGGAGGAGAGTATAAGGTGATGGACTTTCAGAAGGTGAAGGAGTGGACAAATATCCAAGAGTCATAGTGGCTTGGTAGGTTCCAAGAATGAGCACTGCAGAAGTATGACTGACACAAGGTGATTTGTAAAGCTTTGCGTCCTCAATCGCTCAGTACTACATGAAATCTATATTAATGACGGTCTTTCCTAGTGCCAGGGTAGCTATGCTGGTCATTCGGATTGTGTCAGATATATATTCAGCGGATTCAACATAGCTCTGACTTTCTCACGAGTGAATAGACAATGAGCTAATTCAACCATTAAAGTGGTGTGGATGAGCACACTTGATCATCCTTCCCGCGTACCTAGCAAAGCAATAATGGATGATAATACAAGTAGACCTGCACATTTGAAGAGAAGAGTTACAACAAGCAATGACAATTGGGACCGATCGATTGTAGATGCCTTAACCAACAGGAACCGACCAATGATCGGCGGTGCAGCCGATCTCTTCCCGATCCAGCCAGATCGTGGCGGTGCAAACTGTGGCACCAGCGGGGTGCCTTCACATGTGACCTGTCTTGTGCAGTGATATCATCGCTTGACTCGCTCGGTGAGCTGTATTTCAACGACTCTCGAGCTCAGGGTGGCTATGAATTGCAGAAAGAGCAAAATAACTACGTTGAACAGCTCCCAGCGTGTACATTTCACTTATATTGATCGTGTACCGGAACCGGTGGGTCTCGAAACCACTATATATCTGGGGTAAGTCCACCGTCCTTTGTTCAGGCCGCCATATCGCAATGTGATGAACGGCTCCTTTATCCGCTGGATTACTTCATGTCGAACCTTCACTAAACATAAGAGGAAGTATATAGGCTTTATATACCATTATCGATTAAGCGCGGAGCGAGATAGCCATGCAGCAATTCACCCAGTGGAAGAACTGGAGACGTCCGTCCCAACGTCAACCGCATGAACCGGTCTTAACAACCGAAGATGAAGCATTTCTACGAGAGATTACCTCCGATCCGGCAAAGCAAGGGACGGTATCGCCTACCATCGAAAATGATACCCCTCTATCGCCTATTTCTCCCGTACCCACAGATACTTTCGACACTACCCAATCACCAGTGTCACCGGCAGAGGAATTTGGAAAGGAGCTAGGGGAGGAAGAACGGAAGATCAGAGAGAAGACAGAGCGCTCTCAGAGTGTCTCTCAAGGCTCCAAAGCTGAGAGCTCTACGCAGAAGAAGAGGCCTTGGAGTTGGATCCGGCGGAAGAGCACGGTTGACAAGAAGGTAGCTATGACACCGCCACTAAAGTATCTGCACAAATAGCTGACTGTTATTTGATGACTAGGGTAGCGAAAGCGCGAGCGAAGCCGCTCCCGCACCAAGTGCCTCAAGTGATGCACAGCCCGCTGAAGCTAAAGAAGACGATGAAGCGAAACAAGAAGCAGAAGATATGACGGAAATCCTCGAGCGCCTCAACCTGGCGGCCGAAAACAACCGCGTATTCTCGATAAGTGACGAAACACGGGAACTCCTTCGTAAATTCACATTGATCTTCAAGGACTTGGTCAATGGTGTTCCGACTGCGTATCATGATCTCGAGATGCTCCTCAAGAACGGCAACAAGCAACTGCAAAGCACTTACTCGAATCTCCCGAAGTTCCTCCAGAGCCTGATCGAGAAGCTTCCTGAAAAATGGACTGAGACACTTGCCCCCGAAGTTCTCGCGGCTGCCACTGAGAAGGCCAGTAAAAGTGGTATCAATGTGGACAATGTAGGCAAGGCGGCGGCGGCCGCCAACAAGATGGGACTTAAGGTTCCCAGCCTGAAAGAACTAGTAGGGAAGCCAGCCGCGCTTGTAGGGATGTTACGGTCCATAATGGCATTCTTACGGGCTAGATTCCCCGCAGTGTTGGGTATGAATGTACTCTGGTCAATGGCATTGTTTAGTAAGTTGCGCCCTGACACGACTAAGATAAATCGGGAGTCACTAATGTTCACTAGTTCTTTTGTTTGTCCTCTGGTATTGCCATAAACGGGGCCGCGAGGTTCGCCTCGAAAATGAGCGTCTTGTTACAGAAGAGGAGATTGGTAAACTGAATGACGAGTCACCTGAAGGGAAGATCCGCAATACTGAGACGTTGACGACCACGGCACCCCGAGGAGCTTCCGCGGCGGAGATCCGCCAAGGAGTAAAGGAGGTGCAACAAGCACGAGAGGCCGCCACGACTACGAACGATGCCAAGGACAAGGAGAATGAACCTAAAGATGATATTTCTACCAGGCCAAAACGATCCAAGTCAATTTTATCAATCTGGCCTAGGTCGGACCCAAAACCGACACCGGCAGAACCGAAAATTGAACCCTACCCAGGTACCTGAACAGGGTACTGTTGTCACTTTTGGAGAGGCGCATTTGCTTTTTAACGTCATTTTGATACCTTTTTGTTGTCTTTAATCCCATGATCTACTGTTATGAATTCCATGTCTTTCGGCCACTTGTCCTCTGAAACTGAATGAAAACATCACTTAGCCTATCTCAAACATCACGCGGACCCATGGTTGAAGAGCGGACCGGGCAAGTTGCGGGCAGAATGGGTGGCAACATCCATCTCAGATACTTCATCATCATTTTCTTCTAACCGGGCCCCCTTCTGGAAGTTCTGCCGTCTAGCCGCCCTTTCCGGGATAATGCTGCGACCCGCAGGAGCTTAGACCGGACGTAGAAATAATCACTCGAATCACCAGCGACCAAGTATTGCCCTACAATAATATTAAAGTCCCCCTGCACATGTATTGAACACTACTACTATCTCAGCTGTGCTGGACGACGACTAGCTTTGCTGTTGCTTTGCCAGACGGAAAATCGACGAAGACTGCGGGGTGCAGCCACCCCAGCCAATCAGACAGCCAAAAGTAGCCACGCATTGACCAATGGGGTCTGCAACGGGCGCCGATCTCTTGAGTAATCAAGGCCCACTTAATATCCTGCTCGACGTGGACTAGCTGTATGCAATGGTATTACTGTTACCATACAATAGTGGGCAATTGCAAACATCATCATAATTCAATATCCACTATCGCCCATTTCCCCCCAATCTTGATAACGATAACTAACTGGGTTGGGTTCAACTAGAATCTTGGAAGAATGGAATGGAAGGCCACGTTCCCCCCTCTACCCCCTCCTCTTTTGCCCCTTAGTACATAGTGGATTGTTGGGTTTTTATGTATCGCTGTTCGCAATGCGCATAAATTTGGATTAAGATGGAGAATCATGAGTGATGATGTTACTATGTGTAAGTAATAAGTATAATAACGAAAAAAGAAACTTTACTTACAGTAGGTTTTCCCCCCTCACCTGCTGCTGCTGCTGCTACTGCTGCTTATCAGCCCATTTCCCGCTGCACAGTTCATCCACCTACATTAAAGCAATATAACCAACTTATTATTAATAGCCGCCAGCACTTCAACATGTGGCAGAAAAACCTGCTCAACTTGCACCAAGTACCTCCTGTAAGCAACAACAATGATAATTAGCAGTCGTAGTTGAATCGAGTTGCTGGCTGGCTGGCTGGCCAGCCCCGTAGTAAGTAGGGTGTGTTTCTCGATACATCCAACCGGCTGAGTTTCCAGTAGTTGCAGCGGCGGCAGCCAGCTGTCCCTTTACCGCTTGTTTAGAGCCAATTACAACATGCATGCATCATGTATGAATGCCAAAGGCATCGCTACTAGTCCCCCCATCCATCATTCACAATTCATGCCTGAGTGTTCTTGTCCCTCTATCTCAAGCCAACGAGGTAATGGAACATGAGACTAATGTACCTGTCTCGAAGAAGTGGTGTGGTGCTTTGCATTAATTCTAGATCATCATTGTCTGTTGCTCTGCGCTCGGGGACCTGGGTGCTTTTTGTGGGTTGATCTTTTGTCATTGTAATTATGAATGTTTTGTGGAGGGGTATCGGTTGAAGGTGTGGTGCAATTTCTGATTCTTATTATTGAAAGGTAGCCGAATTCCGCACTTTTGATATACGGAATATACGGATGAATAGCCAAGGCAAAACAAACCAGCAATAGTAGCGCCAAATTCACGGCTAGCCGAAACTACTTACCTATCTTGCCTTGGATAGAGTAGGGGGTTGTACACAGTATGGTAGTAGTGCCCAGCCCAGTCCGTTCGGGATGATGCCGAAAATGTCACGGACCTCCTGGGATTATTGATGCGGTGGCTTTTTTGTCTTTCCACTTTGATCTATTTTAGTCGATCCTGTCGGCGATTAGTACTATCACGTGTGCCATTATATGTTCCCCATTACCTTCCTACGGAGTCAGTCTGGATGAGTTATCTGTGTGAAAAGAGGTAGTATGTATATAGGATGGGCATCATGGACACTGGAAATAGCCCATTTCTGCAAATTGGTAAAGATGGTGCGGCAATCTCGGAGATTTAGCCGCTGCGTTGTTGGTCTAATTGACGCTCGAGACCCCTATGTTGTGCTGTTCATTGAACTTATCATGCCTTCTGGTGGATATCTGGTCTGCTGCAACTTGATGCATCCGCCCAAGGCTGGAGGTCTAGGCTGAGCCGCGGATACCGAGGCTCTGTCGCATATCCGTGCGCCTGGATACCCATGCTAAAGGATCAGGATTCTGTGTCTGCGGTTTCCTGGGAACAATTGATGCTTGCAGATAAGGGTCCTGTTGAGGATGATTGTAAAAGTAGACTAGAACTTGAAACTGAGGAACTGAGTTAATCGTGTTATGTTCAGCGGCTATACTCCGTACTGACTGGAAGTATGACTGACAGCTGGCTTAGTAATTTGACAGGATAGACGGTAGGAATGACTTAGAGAAATCATTTATGCTAAGTGATTTATACTCTAAGACAGACCAATTCGTGTGGTAGAGAGTCACCAACGTAAGGAATCGATCAACGTGCCTATTGCAGTCCACTGTGAGCAGCAAGGAAGACCCCGAGAATGAACAAAACAGCGAGGCAGCACCTTTTCCTCCCCATGAGCGGACTAGTCCATATCAGGTAAGGCATAGCCGCCAGTGCCGGGCTTGGCCAATCCGAGTGGTGGGATTGACCTCATCCGGTAAGGTGGCCCATCAAGACCAGCCATCCGGGTCCATCCATGTCATCCTCCCTTACTCCCGACCTCCTGAGAGAGGAGTGCAGGCCATCCGGCAGCCAACTCGTGTTTCCTGCGTCTAGATGCACGCTCGATGAATCATACCTATGAGTGCAGTGCATTCGATGAATCATGGACCAGCTGATCTAGCCGACACAGTGACGGCCATTATCAAGATGATGTGGAAAGATGTCACCGTGCAGAGGGCACGGTTCAGAAAGTTGTCCTCCCTTCCTTTAGCGGCAGGAATTTGGCTTGTGAGATTTGCTTATTCTCCCCTTTCTTACAGTATGGCCCGCTTTGCATGCCACGACTTTCGGAAAAAGAAGGCCCCTCATTCTTTATCAGAGGCTCGGGTGCGATCTGCGTTCTTGCCTGCATGCCTGTGATCTAACAGATTGCCTTTACTTACATACTGTACAAGTCTGTAAAAATGTATGCTAGTGGTGGAACAGAGGGGGTGATACGTAGGGATGCTGCATCGGTTCGCCATATGGTTATGTTTCAACCCTGGGTAGGTGTTCGATTCATCTCGAGTTTCCGAACATAACGCTCGTCTGGAGGCGAATAGATGCCTCCAACTCGGAGGAGTAGTGAGTCACCGATGCTTCAATCCTCGGGTGACTCCGTCGCCAGCGTTGTTCATGATTTGTCCGGTGATTTAGTACTAGGCAGGCGGAACAGCGGGCCAAGTCATATTAGATGGCAAGCAGAAACTTAGTAGTGGGATTCCTTCCTGGCCACAAGGCGCTGTTCATTTTCCAATTTGCCGTCTCCGTCCCCATAATAGTATCCCTTTCTATGGCAAGACCCGTCGACGCCATCTGCAGTTTCAGGTACCCAACGAAGAAAGACTACCCAAGTGCTTCAGGATCGTCTTCGTTCGACAACCGGGACGTGCCGGAGTGCATGCCGTAGTCCATTCCGAGACAGTATGCTATGTCACCATTTAATACTAGATAGTGACAAAGTAGTACGTAGTAGTACTAAGTGAAAGGAGGTAAGAGTCTGCCAGGCGGAAATTACTTCTTCTGTTGCCTCCTTTGGACAGGCCGTGACTAAGTGGTACTAAACCGGTCATATCATTGTCGCCTTCTATTCGAGGCTGTTACAAGTCCCCCGCGAATGATTGGCTTCCACTGCAGAGACCAGCTGGGGTGGATTGCAGGCAAAAAAAGAATAAAAAAGGAAAAAAGAAAAAAAGATGCGGTGAACACTTGCCCGCCAATGGGCGTGACTGTTTTTGTGGTTCCTGACCAATCATGACCCCGCAGACTGCGACCGGCCGAGGCGGGCTCCACCCTGACTGGAAAATTTGGCCCGCCCCAGGCAATCCAAGGCCGTTCCGTCCTGTAACCTGCTCGTCACGGTACGACGGCGTACGGATAGATGATCTTCTCCCCTGCTGTCTTTTCCCTCCTCCTTCCTACCCTCTATTCCACCCCTCATCTTCCTTCTGCCACTCTCGTCGCAGAATCTTCTCACCACACCTTCTATCCAACCTTCAAAAGACCCTCTTCTTCTCCTTCTATACTATCCAGATATCGTCAAGGGTTCCGTGCCAGGATGGCTTTCGCTGAGCTGTAGATTCCTCGCTGGGGGGCACGGCTGCCTTTTCCATGCTCCCCAGTCCAGCAGCTCCGAGTAATCTCCAATTGACTTGACGATTATCTGTTCCTCTTTCGACGCAACAACAGGCAAGCGTCGGAATTGCCCCTCAGTACATTTACAGGAGAAGCACTTTTGACGTCCCCTTCTGGACGGTGAGGTGCTTTTGCGGTCTACGAAAAGTCTTTGCTATCGTCCCTTTTTTTTTGCCCTCCCCTCCCCTCTATCCGATCACCATCCCTACCGATATACCACCCCTCATCCCGATCTCTCTCACGCTGTCTATAACATCGATCACGATATCCTTTCCTTCCTCTACGCCATTACGAAATAACGTTCCGAAAAACTCCTACCTTACGATATCGGTCCCTGAACCTGTCTTCTCAAGTCGCTGACGCAATCGATTCATTGCGGCGGGTTGTACGGGTAGCAAACTTTGTCGAACCAACAAGTGCTACCTAACCTTTGTCGGTCCCAATTCAACTGAGAGACCTCTCCCAAAGAAGCAATATAACAATACCTATTGTTGACGATATAATGGCGCCAACAACAAACTCCCCGAAGCGGTCACCCCAGGGTGTCGCAAAGGCTACCCATCACAACCCCGCGGGTCGTTCCCCGAGAACGTCCAATAAAGCTGTCTCCCTTGGTTCTCTGAACGCTGATCGGAAGCGAAGAGCGGCCTCCGTATCGAGTGTGTCATCCGTCTCATCCATTGGCGAACTCAGCGACGATGCAAATGACTCCGAGGATGATGATGCAGATGACGAGGAAGAACAGCCAGCTGTTCGTGCCCCGTCTTATGGTCGCCGTGACAGGGCCCATAAGACGGGTGTGAAACAGAAGAAGACAAAGAAGATGAAATTCTCCGACGATGATGGCTACGACGGTCAACGGAGTAGCGATGATAACAATGATTCTGACGAAAGCTCTGATGATGTCTATGCCGCTGTGGACTACATCAGCGATGGCTCAGATGATGAGGAACAGGATGTAGAGAAGCTGGAAGAGTTGTTGATTGTGGAGTCTGAAAATGAAAACCCCGTTGGCGGTATCCTAGCTCCCGGCGCTGATGTTTGGGCCGGTCCCAATGTTTTCGACGATCATATGATCCTGTCGGGTGCGTCCTTCTTTGATGAAGAACAGCTTTATACTGCCATGGAAGCCTTCGGGGAGACCGACATGGCTAGCGAGACTGCTATTGAGACCCCGGTGCCGCGCCGGGTGCACTTCCAGGAAGACTCGGACTCCTCGTCTGATAGTGATTCCCATACCGAGGATGAGATCCCCAGTGATTTCCTCCAGCAGGATAGTCTCGATCCCCAGTTGCGTCGCATGATCGATAATGATAATGAAAATTTATCCCGCCGCCGGCGTCAGTCTGAGGAGATGTATGCCGAGTCAGACTACGGGCATTCCAATATTTATCACGTGGAATCCGATGCCATCTCCGAGGGTTCGGAGTCAAGCGGCTATGAAAGTATGCATGAAGCTGGTCAACCCCGCACATTCCACTTGCTGACACGTTTGAAGCCGATGATGGCGAGACTACAGATGAAGATCTTCCCCCTCCTGCCACCATCACGCATCCTAGATCTATCCTGCGTCGGGATTCTTCGGCCTCGCTGGCGCCCACAGGTGATGAGAAGAGCGAAACCACTTCTCGTCGGCGAGGGCCGATTATGGGGACATTTGTCGCCGACCCTCATAAGCCTGTTGCACTTGTCGACTGCACTGGCAAGCACCTCGTGATTATCCCTGCCTATGCCTCCTCTCGCCATGATTGGCTTGAATCTGCCACGAATAGCGCCTGCAATACTGCTCATAACAGCCCAAGGGCTACTACCATGCATCTTATTGACGAAAGCGATACGGACGCCCTCGCATCGCCCAACCATGCAGATCTGAGCCCCATGCTTGCATCAAGTGCTAATCTTATGATGACTGCCCTCGGTAATGATATTGCTCCAGGCGGTCAGGTAATGGGCCCCCCTGAGGCGTTCTATCCATCCCGTGACTTTGCTATCGATAGCTCTTTCGAGGACGACGATGAAGATGATCCGGAGTCGGCTTTGAATGTCGAAGACTTCATTGACTTCGGTGATGGGTCATCTGATGACGAGATGGATAAGGCGTTCGACGAAGAAGCGCTGATGTCGCCAATGACTGCTCGGCCCCTACAACTCGGCACGGGCACACCGACCCCTAATCGCGGTGCCGACTCCCAGCAGGCCAGCAGTGCGGAACGATTCCTAAACCACCTGGACCGTGGCATCGTTACCGCGTTCCGCCGGAATCACAACCGCTACCAAGCACTGTTGCGTCTCCCACAGCATCGGGAGTTTATGCCGGCAAATTCGCCTTCTCGCCCTGCTAGCGTCTTCAGACATGCACGCCATGCAGACCAACGCACCCCCACGCGCAAGCGCAAAGCTAGTGGGTACAACGGCGGGGAAGCTGTCCGACGAAAGCTGATGGACGCCCACCGCCACACCCAGCTTCCTTTCTAAACTACGATTTGACACTGCGCGATACCCTGATATCTCTGATTTGAGGCGAACATAGCGTGCCTGGATTTCCACCAATTCCGAGGACATATTGAACATTTGTACATGGATTTAGAGTCTGTGTTTCTAGCATAGACGGTGATGTGTTTGTTACATCGGGAATGTGGGTTGGTTGATCCAGCCTCGTTCTCCACCATCGGCGGGTGTTCTGCATGGCTTCTCTCTCACAGAATTAGGTCTTCTTTCTCTTCTTACTCTTGTGGTCGGAAAGACGGGGGATATCTCATGGCCAAAAGTTCGAGTTTGATGACATTTGATTTCTGGAGTTGATGAAAGGATATACCTTGTGTTACGAAGACCTGTTGCTTTTCTTTGTTCTACCTTGATTTCCTCCGTTTGATGACATGTATGCAGTGCTACGGCGTCTTAAGCACACGGAAATGCAAATATGAAAGTATTTTAAGCAACCGACTAGTAACGTAGTTTTCTTAAGATTTCCAGGTAGTATCGAGTAACTATAGCCTCTAGGCAGCCATCAGGCCATCAAGCCATTGGCGATGGCTTTGCCCTTCCCTTTTGCAAGTAATACTTGTCTCAGTGCTCAACTCAAAGGAAATGAAGCAATACCACCCTATGCAAGCCATAACAAGGGTCAGGAGTAAACGAAACCCCTCAAGGTCCCTAACGCAATGGTCAGACAGAGCCATTGTGCGACGCGCCAGGGGTAAAGTAGTAATTCTCTCGTCATCGCTTTGTACACGAGCGTTTAGCAGGTTGCACAACCACCTCCTGTGGAGACAAGCCAGTTGAAGTCCGATCCAATCAATTCTATGCGAGCGCATAAATCAGATCGTACAGCATATATGCATGCATGCTCTATCACAATACTCACATCACAAATCTAAACCCAAACGTAAACTTGCATGGTATTTTAGTGGAATGTGGAGGCGGTGGCCCAGGCTCTGAAGGTTGGATTCCGAGGTGGTATTCTGGCGCTGGGGTTTCCTAGGTCACCTAGTTAGTCTACGTGGATTAGAGTATACATGGCTGTCAATTCCTTGATTTCTTCCATCAGCTATCTTGCTGTGGCGTGGCGGTGTTTGTAGTCGGGGAACTTGGATTGAAGCCTCGGGCGGTTACCTGGTGAATGGGAATGCGTGCTGCCCTCAACTTCTCTCTAGTACGCTGTAGATCGGTTGAAGTTTGTTCTCTTTCTGATTCGCATTGGGGTGAACTGGGCTCTTCCAGTGTCGTAAGATTATTATTAGAATGGGAACCAAATGGATAAATTTGGCGGTTGGTAAAGGAGTGATGAATGTGAGAGGGGAAGAAAAAGATGTTGTTGGGGCACTGACTGGTCAGGTTTCAGCGCGAGACGCCGGGTTAACTTTACCCTCTCACTCTCTGCACACAAGCGAGCTGTTAGGGGTTGAAGATCGGAGATGCCGCTTTAAGAGGATCGTGCAGAATTAACTTCTTCTGTGTGTCTGATGTGATATGAATGGATAGAATTGGACCCTGGCTGGACATTTGACGTGGAGAAGAGACATTGGCGCCGTTTAGGGTCTCATTTGGGAGGTGGGACAAGTGTGTCTGTCAGTGACAAAGACACATGATCGATCCCTTCTTGCTTGGCTGTTTTCCCCTCTCTTCTTCCCTTCTACCCTTTTCGTCCTGGATGAATGAGTTCTGTCTACTGCTTGTTGGGCGTATCCATTCATGATTCTCATGTCTGAATATTGCTGGCGCATTCGTCGCCAGATGGATGCAGGAATAGTAAGTGATGAATGTCTTGTTGCCATGGATTTAGGTAGAGGCTTGTATGCCGTCAGACTGCCAGGCAACGAACAGCCACCGACGCCCCATAGCCCCCTCTTTCACCCACAAAATAAAGGGTTCTTCATCATCTCCCCTTATGGGCCGATACATCTCTTGGGCTGAGCCAAATGCCAGCCTTCGTGACCCCTGATTGGCGATGAACTCGCGCTTCTGTCAGGGTCTTTCACCCTGTTCCTGCACTAGCGGCACACCCGGCGCCTCTGGATTGGATTGGTGGTTGTAACACCGACTGTGCAGCCATTGACATCTGGCTGGTTGGAGCGTGAATGCTCAATAGGCTGTCTTACTTGCACTTTCAATCTATTCTGGTGAACGGCAATTGCCGTCATGGCCGTGTTAGGCACACAGCCTTTCGCCATCCCGGTGTTGGTACTTTTAAGGGTCCATCGCCCTCCCTGGTAACAGAATGCTTTGGCTGCTCTGATTTCCCCCTGAAGCTGTTTCTTGTTGTTGTTATTGTGTTATTGTTTGTTTGCCCAAGTGGATTGACACTAGACACTCGTTCATCTACTATCACTCGTTGGCTTGTTCTTATTTCTTGTCGTCTTCTTTATAAGTCTTCTCTTCCGCATCTGCGTGACTTTGAAACCAATCGACAATCTGCATCTCATTCGACATTCTTTACACTCCTTCGACTACTACTAAGCCCTATTCAATATGAGGGCCGTAGTTCCTCTCTACCTAATCTCGGTCGCCCTTTGGCCGCTTGCAGCTCTTGCTCATCCCAAGGGCTTGGTGAGTGTGCTCTTGCGCTTGTACATGACTTCATACAAGGCTAATATACATAGTGGTGGGGAACCGATGAATGCTATCCCAGTCCTGGAAAGGCCGACAATGATTGTTCCCAGGATCAGCAAACTGGATTTGACTGGTCCGGGCTGGCTGTCGGCTCCTTCTCAGCCTATGCCGGGTTTGAGTTCTCAGGCTTCTCCTTGAAAGAAAGCTTTGGCGCTTCCTCCAGTGTAAGCATTGCACCTCTCTTGAGTTGGTCCGTAACTAATGGTTACAGGGGAAATGCATCGTTGGAAAACTCTCCAAGGAAAGATCTTCGGGTCTCAAGATGTCTTCCGGTAAAGGCCAGAAGGGATTCTCTGTCAGCAGGTTTCGTCTCGCCACATCCAAGGAAGCCGACGTCCACATTATCTATAACATGCCTGATGGATCATCCTGCAATGATGTTGTCTCCTGCTCTCCGGGCGGGACAGATGTTACCAATGATCAGTGTGGTGGTTCTGTTTCAGTGAGCTTCAGGCTTGAGGAGGATATTGAGATCGAGACCTGCGATTTGGGTATTTACGAGGTCGAATTCGATTGCTCGCCGAGCCAGGACACCGATACCTCTAGTACCACTGTGCTGCCATCCTCGACCAAGTCAAGTGGCTCCTCAACTCCCCTGATCCTGATGCCACCCTCGTCGCCCGCAGCTACTACAACTTCTGCCCCGACACCAGTCAGGATGACTACATCTACTGTTTACTCGACGAAGGAGGTGACAATCACAAGCTGCGCACCCACTGTGACGAATTGTCCTGCAAACTCGGTCACAGTGGTCACATCTACGATTGCGGTCTCGACTACTGTATGCCCGGTTACTGAAACTTCTGGGGCTTCTCCGGCAGCGAGTACGTCGGTGAGTACGTCGGCAGGACACCATACCAGCAATCCGATGGTTACGACGTCGATCAGTGTTCCATCCGGCAGCTCTCCTGTCGAGTCCACCTCATCCCATTCGAGCCCGGTCCCTACTAGCCCTGCTGTGTCTACTGCTCCTGCTGCATCAGGGCATGGCTCTTCAGCTCCTGCTGTTGACAAGACCACCGTCGTTACATATGTGACAGTGACCACTTGCCCAGTGACATCCACTGGCTCTGCAGGCGGCTCACTCACCACGTCAGTTGGCACAACCGTCTCTACTGTTACGCTGACCTCGACGTCGACCATCTGCACCAAGTGCATTGCTCCGACTTCTGTAGCACCTATCTCGTCTGGCCCTGTCTCGGCCCCTGAGAGGACTACGACCGTTGTCACTTATGAGACTGTGACTACCTGCCCTGTGACCAACGTTGTTACCTCAAGTGGTGTTCCTATCACCTCGGTTACCAGCACAGTCTCAACCATGACCGTGACCTCAGTGGCCACTATCACACCTACCTCGGTCGTCTCCAGTTCTGCTCACGGTCCAACCGGCGTCGCTCCCATTTCCTCTGGACCGGTCTCCGTCCCTGAGAGCACGACAACTGTGGTTACATATGAGACCCTTACTACATGTCCAGTGACCACTGTAGTGACCTCGAGCGGAAAGCCGGTGACTTCAGTCACTAGTACTATCTCAACAGTGACATTGACCTCGGTGTCCACATATTGCCCCAAGTGTACCGCCGGCCCGACATCTGTTGGCCCTGTCACTACTGCGCCTGAGAGCACAACAACTATTGTGACCTGGGAGACCTTGACCACATGTCCTGTGACTTCAGTCGTGACCTCAAGTGGCAAGGCCATCACTTCCGTTACTAGCACTGTCTCCACCATCACCATGACAGCAACGTCTACAATTGCAAACACAGTTGTACCCACGGGCAAGTCCCCAGCCACCAGCACCGGTGCCAGCGGTGTCTCGACGCCCGCCCCATCCGCACCGTGCCCCAACGTGGTGCCCAAGTGCATCAACACCTGGATGAACCTGCTTCCCAAGTGCAGCTCCAACAGCGATATCAGCTGCTACTGCCCATCGGACGATTTCACCAAGAAGGTCATTTCCTGCATACAAGCCTGGGGAGCTTCCCAAGCCGAAGTCCAGGCTGCTCTATCCTATTTCACCGGTATCTGCGCCGCCTATGTACCGCAAAACCCAGGCATCGTGACGGTCATCCCAACTTCGATCACCCTCGGCGCTGGCGCCACTGGTGCCGCTCCAGTCACTGGTACAGCAGTCCACTCAATCACCGGTGGTGTCGCACCGACCACCAAACCAGCCACTGCTGCACCTGTCGCGTCCACCGTCGTCACCTACTCTACCTGGACCGTGACCGTGCCTAAGGTCGTATTTACGACCGCCTCAGGAAGCGCCCAGACAACCGTGGGCCTTGTGCCAGGCGGTCCAACTGGCGTCTCGGCAAGTTCAAGCCGTATTCCCAACCCCTGGGCTTCCTCGACTCTCGCTACCTTCTCCGGCCGGCCAACAACGTCTCCTTCACCTAGTCACACACCCGTGCTGTCCAACAAGGCGTCTAAGGAAAATAATTCTTCAGGATGGTGGTGGACTATTGCCGTCGCTGCTCTTTTGGGCATTTACTAATCGTAATCAGGGAATGATATGAGGGGAGTGAACAGATTGGTGTTGTAAATTGCGATGATATGTCATCGTCCCGGTGTATTTAAAGGACCTTTGCTTTGCTTGTAAACAATGAGTTTGCTTTTTCGTCATAATATTTGTTTCCATGTCTTAAGCTGCAAGTAGCTTGATTGTGTAGCTTGTAACTAGCATGAGGTGGCACATAGCTTTGCCAGGGCCGCTCCCTACTAGATGCGCTTCTAGGAAATGATCGAAAGGGCCCGAGTTTGATTATGTCATGATCGGGCACGATTCCCCACCCCCAATCGTGAAACCAAATTCCTACCAAAGCACACCCCACTCATGAGTGAAAGACGGCAGTTTCGTCAAACCCTCCCCATTCTTTGGTTTCTTTCCTTATACATCCAGTTTACTTGCAATTGCCCAGTCGCTTTTACTACACAATAGCTCATGGAAATCCCAATTCGGATCAAGAAATCTGCAACAGACGATGAGCTTGCCGAACTCGGCAAAACGCAGGCAAGCAGATGGGCTGTTTCCCTGTGAGTCTCTTCTTTCACTAACTTGCCACAGCTGCAACATGACGATTGCACTATCTCGACCGAGACGAGGAACATGTCCGAGACTCTTTCCGCGCCGGACAATGCTGTAGCAATCATCGTCGATATCAGCGCGCCAGGCGGCAAGTTCGTTATCGGCAAACACGCACAGGTACCGTGGGGTATCGACGTAGTTGCAGAGACGGTAACGCAGAACGAGCGCCAATTATTGATCTGGCCCTGGCGTTGCGAGTGGCAGTTCTATGCACTCGGTTCAATCAAAATAAGATACCTCGTAAAGCCATCCAGCACTGCTACATGACCTGTCTGCAGCGGTCTCGAAGATAATAACAGAGCTGCGTGGTAATGGGAATAGTGATGAATGGTTTTGCTGTGGGCTGAAAGGGCTCTGTCAGCAGGAGAGGTCCCGGGCATATGAGCTTCTGAGTGACAAGCGCAGTTGATATCTCCAAAAGATCGATCGGAGTAAGCTCGTACACGTTTCCACTGAGCTCTTGAAGACTGGTCAGCCTATAACTACAACACCATCTAATTCAGCTCACCCGTCTGATATCGCGATTGAGAGGCCAACGAGGCGGTTGCTTCTTGAGAAGATATCGCCTCAGATGGGACCGATGCCTCAGGTTCCCTTTGCGACAGTATTTCCGAAGCGGTCCCACTGACGTTGCTACGGTTGTCGTCATCTGCTAATCGGTAAAGTAAGAAATACAGGGTTCCTGAGCGGAGGGAACTCTACTTACCTTCTGGAACAAGACGACACTCAAACTCACGCAACCTATCTTTGATATAGGTAGACAGATGCCATCCTTACTCTGCCAACAGTGTCAGAAGCTTCCTCTTCAGCTCTTTCTTAGTGTCTCTGAAAGCGGATTTGCCGACTGCCAGAGCAAATATCACCGTGAGCTCTTTACCACCTAGGGAGTGAGCCTGCCGTACAGCAGCAGTGTATGAATCTGCTCCGTTCTTGTCGGATACTAAATGGAGGGCCTCATGAATGCGTTTTATGTCTCTCGTCACTATCTTTTCACCCGTCTCTATCCACCTCACCCAAGAGGAAGCGCTTTCTAGCACAGTTTCTTGGTCCAGCGGTGCATGGCGAGAGGCTTTCCCGGTTTTATTGCGAGCATGGGGCATGGTTGGGCGTTTTCGGCGCGCCATGTCAATGGGCTTAGAATGAAAGCGTGCGACAAACTTTCTTGTTGGTAAAGAAAGGCTACCGACACAGTCGGGGACGCACCGGGACTTTATACATTCTCGTTGGAAGGGCGGCTATTTTGGTTGGAGTATTGGATCTTGGGGTGTTCTGTCATAGCCACATAGCCGCCGCACCAGCCACATTCCGGGTCCCGTGCCCGTCACCATTTGTTCTCTTCTCGCTTTTGTTTCCTTCCTTTCATACATTTCTCCATTACTTCACATATGAACCGGCTAAGTCGGGGTCTTCATATTATAATAATTCTTGATTTATTCTATTGCACAAATATTTGAGTATGTTTGCTTCGCGGAAGCATTTCACAAAAACTATGTCGACTTTCGCACCTGGAAGTACTCTTCAAGGTGCCTCTTGGAAATACCGAATACTCAAACCTGTAGTGGGGGATAGCACGCATACCTCGACCGTCTATAAAGCTGAGGTTATTCCGCGTGAGCATGCACGGGGCGTTCCTCAAGCTCCCAGAAGGTCTGCTGTGCTGCATCATGAATCATAACCTGGCCCGTCACTAACTGTACTATATCAGGGCTCTCATCAAAGTATCCCCGCCTGGCGCTGTAATTGCGCTAGAGAACATGAAGCGTGAGCGACAGGCCTATCGTCTTCCTGGTGTCGCCTCTTCGGGGTGCTTCCGAAAGATGTACGATGAGATTGACAGTAGCACCATCGCCTTGGAATGGATGGACACCACTCTTGCAGAGGTGAAATACCAGCCTAGCATGCGTATATACCCCCTCATCGTGACTTTCATGAGAGCAGCTTTGACCAGTTGTGTCGTACTGGAAGGCTACAGAAGTGTGAACACAGGTACAGAGTTCCTATTCTGAGAAGATTAACAGTTACTAACATAACCTGTCCCAGACTTTAAGCCCGCAAACATCCTGCTCTCTGGCATTGAGACCGGCTATATAACAGCTAAAGTAGGGGACTTAGGACTTGGTGAGTCTGCATTAATACCCGCAAGACCACTCTGTTTCTTTTTTGTACTGATAGATCGACTTTTAGTGGTGCCATCTGGCAGTCTTTGCAATGCACAACCATATGCGATGCGCGCTCCTGAAGTCTTCCTAGGCCAAGCATGCGCTGAGCCATCCCAGGTCTGGGCAGTTGCCGCGATGCTGCTTTGCTGGATAAACCCGGGAGTACTGGGCGTGTGGAATAGTCCGCATCCCTTCATTAATGACGCTTGGTGCATGGCGAAGATAAAGCGACTATTCCCTCATTGGAAGATCCCACACTCCGACAGTGTTGAGGGTCATTCGCTGAAAGCTGCAGTAGATGCTGCTAAGAGTTTCAGTAAGGAAGTGTCAGAGTTGCAAGCAATCTCACCTTTGTGTGAGGAAATACGTAAGGTGGAAATGCCTCAGCAATTAAGGGATCTTCTTCGATTAATGCTGGTGGTTGATCCAGTCCAAAGGCCCTCCGCCTCATCTGTGTTAGCGTCGGAAGAGTTTAAGGCATTAGAAGAGCTTGCGAGAACGTGAATCCGGTGAGCTTGGGAGGACATCACATGGATTAATATTCTGTACAATTTCAACAAGCTACAGTCCCTTCTTCACGCGTCTAAAAGAGATCGAACAGGCTAGTTTGGTTGGAAAGGATGGGAGAACGTGCTGGCCGCTTCTCCCTCTACTGTTTATTATCGAGCTATAACTTCAACCACATCTTCCCGATAGTCACGACAGGTGTCAATAGATCCGCTGCAATACCCCAGCAATAATTTGCCATGCGCCCGTATGCAGACTAAGCTGGAGGGTTGTGACAAAAAGCCCAACGAGAAGCGGGTATATTCTCCAACGACATGCCGATTTCCAACGAGAGTTGATGCGGGAAAAAGCACGGATTGTCGTACTATAGGCCATGCAACCAACGCCGCCTGAGCCTTCTATTCAGCCTTGGATACGCGACCAACTGGATCTGCCGCATGATCACAATCTAGAAGCTATAGTATAGCCCTTTGTGCCTGCCTTGGAAGCGAACTCACGCTAATTTGGCACGCAAGACCCTCACATTGGCCCTCGCTGATGGACTAAGGATACCTCCAACAAGCCAGCTTAAAGTTCATCTGGTTGGAGGACCTTTTGTATGAAGGGGATCATGCGTTATGATCTTGTTGGAGACATATTGGGAGCAGATGGGCATGAATTGAAATTTATAAAGGACGCTTTCAAGCCCTCCTCCCCCCTACTTCATGAGATGTGCCAAACGAACGCAGCTGCTGCATCAATTACCCTACTCGATATACAGCGCTCACAATTTTCTTATCTATTCTGTCTGTCTCCTTAAGCCAACTTGAGCACATTCAGAATATGTCTCTTATCGGTCATGTCTTCAACAGAAGCCTCCAAAGAAATATCCCGGTGTATCTCTCTGAGACCGATCCCGGCTTCACTCGTCTCACCACGGTCATCGATCAAAACGTGAAATTTGCCGCTCTTGCCTTGCTCAAAGAGCGCTTCGAGAGTGGTAGCCTGTTCAATGAATCGGACATGAGGCTGATGGAACGGGTTACTATTACGTGAGTAGCCAACAGCTAACTAGCAATCAATCAATCCGTTAACCTCCTCAACATCCATTTCTATCTTCTCTTTTCCCCTTTACTATGTTACCACCAACAATCTAGCTGGGAAGCTTGACTGATACGATGCGAGATAGTAACCTGTTCCACGGAAGCCCCGGTGATCCTAACGAGCATTTGTCTGTTCAAGGTGAATATAACAATGGTAACATGGTTAAGGGTGGGCATGCTTCTGTTGATGCATCCAAGCAGACAATAAGGGTTTCACCCACACACACGCTTCCCCTTACCAATCACAGAAATATCAAACACCTGCTAACTGACGCCTACTCCTGCTACTTAGCAAGCTAGCTAGCTAGCTGGGTAATCCAGATACCTCTTTGCTACTAAATAGTTAGTGGTATTCTGCTCGGGCCGTGAAGCGACATACTATATCACGGACAACTAGTATACATGGTATATTACTAGTAGTACTGACTGTTTTTTCTTCTGTTTATTGTGTCGTTCCTGCTTCTTAGTACTTTGTTCATTGTTGCCAATCCCGTCGCCGGGTGATGATATTGAAGATGATCCTATTTCTCTACTGTCATCATCGTCCAACTGTCTCATTCTTTCTAGATTAATCAATCCCATTGTCAGTATTACTATAGACCTTGCTTGATGCATATATAGTGTTTTCAATTCGCCCTTGTGATATTCCCTCCCCCCCTATATCAGCTGCGCAGGTAGGTAAGGTTGCGTTGTAGAGTAATTAGTATCTCACTGAATGTATGCACTTAAGAGCTTCATAATAAGTCACCCCACTATATATGGCACTGGCTATACCGGTACATGATAATAAATGAAATATATCAACAGAGAGTATATCTAGGTACCAGACCTAATCTGGTGGATGAGTGTGCATTATGTCTTATTGTATAGCCAAGACTAAGCCTGTGAACTAAGTAGTCGCTTACAAATAACTGCTGCCAGTGCTGACCAGTTAGATACTTCACCAAGTAACCACCAAACGCCTCTACAGTTCATTCAAGGGTAAGCCCCGCCGGGGCACAGTTAAAGAGGGATAAACACGTTCCAGCGAGCATGTACAGTTCACTTCATTCCTTCCCTACTGACTATCATACCTACTGACTACTTACTTACTGCCTACCTCATTCGTGTCATATCCAATGAAGCAAGCAGGGCAAATTCTATCACCAGTCAACGCCGTCCCAGGACAACAATCCAGTCCGAAGCAAAGCAATATAGACGCAGAGCAGAATCACAAGACTCAGAGAGAAGTATACTACTACTGGCTGACTCTAGTAAACATTCCGGGTCAGAGATATTCAAGGTGAAGAGAGATCACTGATGAGAAAAGGAAACAAGGAAAAGAAAAAGAAAAAAGGTATGACAGGAGATTCTTGCTCCGTCCAAACAAATGCCACCGTACAAGCAGGCAGCCAATGTCAATCAATCCCAACGCCCGTCAAAGTGGTATTTGTTAAGTACTCCCGCTACCCATCCAGTTTGCACCTACCCCGGTTAGCCAGTGTCATGGCTAGCCTTAAACGCCTGTGGTATTGTTGGTTCCGCAAATAGAGGCTACATGGCTAGCCCGTTTTGGTTTTCTTCGTTGAACGCTCGTTGCTTGTTACATCGCCGTTGTCCTTCCTTAATGGATACAGATGCATGCCCATTTCGGTGGGGAAGTCGGGATGCAGCATGTTGAACCGGTTAGGGTCCTGGGGCACCCCGTCGACGTCTGAGGGGATTGTCTCAACTAAGAGCTGAACGAGCGTGCGATCCACGAATCCCGCAGGCTTGTTATGCAACCGGTCGATGCGCGCCCAGTCGTCATCGACTTCCTCGTTCATCAGAGGAGGCAAGGGAGGCGCGCCACTGTTGCTTGAACGCGCGTGATAGTTGGCCAAGATATTGTACGGGAGACTAGGACGTACAGCGGGCTTATCTGACAGCTCCGCCAGCGCGTTCAAAGCGTGATTTCCATGCCCCCGCGTGGACCGCGTGGCGTGGAAGTTCTGACTGGCTGTGCGAGCCATATCGGCCGCAGGAGTGCCATTGTCCTCGGCACCCGTCCCGTCCACCCCCGAACCATCGTCGGCATCGGTGTTGTTACCGTTTGTAGCCGCTCCAGACGGCTGGTCCGCACGCTTGGACGTCGAAAAGAAGTGGACTGTCGCAATGTGTGCAGCATTGGCATGAGCACCAAGCTCCCTCTCCGTAAAGAGAGAATTGATGGAGTAGGACGGCGCTTGCTGCTGCTGGGCCGCCTGGGCCTTGGCGCGCTCGGCGGGGTTGGTCTCGCGCACAGGCGAGCCCACATCCTCATCGGCCGCCTTTCTCTTGCGCTTATTAAAATGCTCTGACATGATCCCATTGCCGAGCTCGTCCAAATCAACGCGGTGGCGGGTGTGACGAGTCTTGCGGTTTCCGTGGATCCCACCCGGACTGGCAGGGTTGGTAATGCTGAACTGATTGGGGTGTAGGAGAAGGGCGTTGGTATCCGCCAGATCCAACTGCTCTTTTTCTCGCATCAAGCGAGCCCTCTTGCCCGAGATCGTTTGAACAAGACGCTCCCGAAGGGTAAGCGACAAGTTATTGTATTCTTCCTCCGCGAAATGGACCCGAAACGCATACTCCTGCTTGAACCGTTCGAGATTATGATTGTGACGATGCTGGAGAAGCGAATAAACATTAGCCCGCGAACTCGACAGAAAAACAAAAGCTGTGCTAGGATGAACTCACTACCAACATAGCCAAATCCGCATCCTTCTCCGCCTTGACCTGATTGACCTCCTGCACGAACCGCGAATACCACATGCCAGCCAAGCTCGCCATCTCTTTGGCGAACTTGCCCCCACCGACGGTATTCTCGATAAGGCGGGCAATATCCTCCGCCGAATCGGGGAGAGGGCCGGGTTCGTAAGGATCAGCATTGTTAATGAGGGTCATGTCGCATTGAAGAGCATGCAACTGTTGGCGGAACTGTGTATCTCTGTTTTGGCTGAACGAGGCCGTGAGGTCATGGAGGCGCTCCTGGAGCGCGCTGCGTCGTTTGTCCCGTTTCGACAGCGGCACGCTGGTCGGAGGACTAGTGGAGCGCCCTCGAGATTGTAAGTTATTTGCCATCATGGGCGCCCCGTTCCCGTGGACCGGGGATGTTGGGCCAGGAGAGTAGGCCATGAGCAATAATGGTGGAGGTGCTAGAGCGAGAAAGAGAGAGAGGAGTGGAGGGCAAACACTGCGAAGAGTTGAGAAGGGCGATGAGAAGAAGGCTCAGTGGGAGAAGCAAAGCTGGGCTTGGCAGGAAACTGCTGCCGGAACAAGGCAGGGCGAGACCGAGAGGCTCGAAAGGCAGTCTGCATAAGCACGGAGATGACAAGCGACCAGGCAAATTCGAGGCGAAGAAAGAGGAGGCAGAAGAACTGGACTGGAGAGTGACGGAGGAGAGCAGAAGGCGGGAGGCCGGCCGTTGGCCCGAAGCGGATTAGCCTCGGGGACATTATTGACCGCCCGGCCTGTCGGTGTTTTCCCGGCCTGCAGTGAAGCCATACAGAGTTATTAACTACACAGACTTGAGTTTTGGTATGCTTGATAACATATGAATTAAAAAAGGACGACAATTGCAGTGCGCACTCCATTATCTATGGGAGAGTCTTACATAGGAATTACCACTGTCGTATACGGTGTACAACTCACTACGCTGACATCATCTATCGCTGCCTTTGGGTTGCCTTCTGTAGGGCGGATCATGTATTTCCATATCTAGTTTAGAAAGAGTAAAAAGTAGTAGTAATCACATGCTAGTGGTCGTCACGCTGCCATGAAATAGATATCCTGGGTATTTTCATCCGATAATAGCAAATGCACACAGTCAATGCTCCCTAGACATTCCCAAACGTGCAATCGAGAACCCAAAGCCCAACTCCGCAGACGCCGCCGGACCCGCCAGTTCCCCATTTTGAATCACACGGTTATATATCCTTCAAGAAAATATTAAAAGCAAAGAAAAGAGAAGAGGAAAGATGAAGCATAATCAAGAAGATGGAGCATCCATATACGGAGGCGGAGAGGGATTCCCGCCCGCAACTGGCTCCACAGCTGCAGAACCCGTGCTTAGTGAGTCCGGCGGATCACGAAAACTCCCAACTCAACACCATCCCGAGGCTCCGAATCCTCGCCATATGGCCGTCTTCGGATACCATCCAGGATCTCCCCTAAGAGCATGGCCGAAGTCACCTCTTTATCTTCCAGAATGTAATTCGTCGACATATTCGACACTGCCTTGGTCGCAGGCAGCCGGCGGCCGTTCTGCCAGTATACGCTGAGAACCTCCTTCATACGAGACTTCTCCTGGTGAATGTACCACTCGGTCCACAGATCACGGTCCAGATGGGCACTGCCCTTACGGGCATCGACAATGCTGAATTGAGACGATGGGGAGCTCAGATCGCAGCAGAGCTGGGTGAGGTTTTGCCGCATCGTGTCAAAGTCTTCCATGTGCGAGACAGACGAGAGCTTTCCCAGATAGCGACCGATGTCGGTGGACAACTCATTCACAACCACCAGCTGACGGAGTAAGGGATCTAGGATGGGTCCGAGGTATTGCGACTTGAAGGTGGATGCACCCCTTCTCGTGGGGTAGACGAACAGTAATGACCCGCCGTCAGGTGATAGCTCACTCAGTCGGTCGACCAAGAATGACGGACGATACCGGGAGAACATGTCTTTGTATTCCTGTGGGGACGACGGAGGGAGATACCGCTCCAAGACCGAAACGTGGACGGTGTGTGGCGGCACGATCGGCATCGGAGAGTACGTCGTCTTGGGCTGGATCGGACCCCGGAAATCGTGATAGGCGGAAACCACGGCTGCACTGGAGAAGACAGCCGGTGGGTTGAAATAATCCTCGCCGGAGAAAAGCGAGCGAGGTGTCGGTGGAGGAGAGGAGGGTAAGTTGGAAAGGCTGAACTGTTCAGGAACAGCATGGGTGATGTTGATGTATGGAGACTGTCCATGACGAAGGCGATCTTGAATCGCGTGGACCAGGGCGCAGTATACGCTATCGTGTGCGGAGACCGGGGCGGACTTATCAGCCGGTCGTGGGTAAGGAAGCATTTGTGAGACGATCTTCACGGCTTCCCCGCGACCGTTGGAAAAGGGAAGAGATGATACTATCACATGAAAGGTTAGCTTCCAGAAGCTCTTACAGAGATTTCCATACGGAAAGGACACGTGATCGGAGGGAACTCACTCGATGCTTCAATACTATTCTCCAGCCATGAATTGTGATCACAATCCATGTCACCAGAAGACCCGGGGCTACCACCAGAGCTTGACGGCGATCC